CATGCCTATAATCCTAGCACTCTGGGAGGCGGAGGCGGTAGATTGCTCGAGGTCAGGTGTTCAAAACCAGCCAGAGCGAAATCCATCTCTACTAAAAGTAGAAAGAAATTAATTGACCAACTAAAATTATATATACAAAAAATTAGCCAGGCATGGTGGTGCATGCCTATAGTCCCAGCTACTCAGGAGGCTGAGGCAGGAGGATTGCTTGAGCCCAGGAGATTGAGGTTGCTGTGAGCTAGGCTGATGCCACAGCACTCACTCTAGCCTGGGCAACAAAGTGAGACTCTGTCTCAAAATAAATAAATTAAATAATTAAATAAATAAATAAATAAAACTTGACCACTCCCTAAGGAAATACATGCTTTAATCTCGCAAGCTGCAAGATTAACTCTCTAGATTTCTAGCATAAGAACTTAATCCAGCGGTGATACTATAGTGCTAGTAAAACTCTAAGACTACAGAATTTAAAAATTCAACCTCTTAAGGGTTTAGTAAATACCTACTGTGGACCTAAGGATTTTCTAAGCAGTTTGAGATGTAGCAGAAGAGCACAAAATATACCACTCCCAAGAAGCTGACTTTTCTCAATGGAGAAATAAGACAGACCCAAAGACACACACACAACACACACACACACACACACACAACACAAAGACAAACACACGTGCACGACAGTGCCAGAATGTATTGTAAACAGGCAGGACAGTGAGAAGCAACGAGATCCCGAGCAACACGACCTGTAGGTGAAGCTTTGGCATCCGAGCACCCGCTTGGTTCTTGGTTGAACAGGGACATCAAGCTCTGCAGAAAAGACATGCGATTCCTGAATTCTTTGAACTTTCTTTTCCTTAAGGGAGCGCGTGGAGACTTATCTACTTCATTAAAAGTAAAAGAAATTAGTAGAACCAATTTAGAAAGGGGCTCAAAGACTGTCTTGCCAGGAGTTAGATGCAGAAGTAGTATCATAATTTCTTAATCACACAAATGCATACTATTGCCAGAATGACAGGCTTCTTACCAAGGGGGTTACACGGAAGGGCTGACTTGCAGCCTGTTTAATTGTTGCTACTTTGAGCTGTTCTTGCAAGGATTCATTTGCTCTTGCAACTTCCTTAATTCATCTGGGAAATAAAAATATATTATTTAGAAACCAGGAAGAAGAAAATGTTGCATGTGGCAAAAATGCTGGCAATATTTCATTTTTTTACTCCCCCAAAACCTTCAGATGCATTAATATAAGCACATACCTAAACCTACAATTAACTTTTATACTTTAAAGAGGTCCCTTAGAGAGAGAAACTTTTATTTCCAGCAATCAAATCCCTAACCCAAAGGTATTTATAAAGTTGTACCACTCACAAGATCTTAAGATGCATATCCACAGTTAACTACTAAGTTTTTAGGAGTAAAGAAATAATGATACTTATTTCATAAACTCAATGGTCAAAACTAATATAATAAATGCTGGCTCATATACTAGAAGAAACAGCCAGTCGCTGCATTATTATATAACTAAATATACTATATATATATATTATATACAACATATATATATAGAAGATGCCAGGAATAGAAAATGGCACACCACATGCCTCAAAGCTTCTGTTCAGGAATGGTCTTCTGGCAAATAGAGTATGTCATAGTTGGTAGCCTGTCCAGGCTCCCCATGCAAACACAGCCCTAAAGTACTATTTTCAGTAAGAAGCATGAAAGGAGTTGGGGCCATCCTGCAGAGAATCAGATGACAGCTGGCTGACACTGATACAGTCTGTGCCTGTCCTTAAAGGCTGTCCGTTAAATGTTTCATCTACCAACTCACACAATTTTCTTTTTGCAGTCATTTGTCCCACCCTTGCAACAGCAGCTACTGTGATACAAACTGTCAGATTGGTGGTCTCCATCTAGTTGTATCAGGAAGAGGTTAGAGAAAGCAAGTAGTTAGGGCACCTTGTAACTCCTGATTTGTTTTCTCTTGTCGGGGGGCAGGAGCGAGGCAATGCAGGAGCTTCGTCATCTGTTAAGTCCCCGGTATCTCCAAAGGAGTGAGGCCAGATTTTCCTTCTGGTCGTCAGCCTTCTCCACGTCTCCGTCATCAGCCTTTCGTTGTAGGACTCGCCGTCACCGTCAGCATCAAAAAGCTCATCAAAAGGTGTCAGGTTCGCCATCTTCCTGGCTCAAGGAGTTACTCTCTTCTGAATTAGAACCCAAGCCGATTCTTCTCCTCCAGCAGTGCGGTCAGCAAAGACAGATCATCTTCCTCCCCTGGGGAAAAAGAAGGGAAATGATAGCTGATTCCAAAAATTCAACATTACACGGCAATATAATTTTCTTACTAGACTTTATGATTCTTAGAGAAACACACACATCTGTAGCCTCTTTTTTTGATGTCCATCTCATAGCGAAAAGTTATAGTTTGTATTACATACACTGCCCTTTAGGCAATTGGTGATTTTAGGAAACAGAGAACTGTCATTATACCACAGGCAATGAGCTTCACATAAGTGGTCCCCCTTACCGTGGTTTTGCTTTATGAGGGTTCAGTTACCCATGGTCAACTGTGGTCTGAAAATAGGTGAGTATAGTATAATAGATATTTTGAGAGATAGAGATCACATTCACATAACTTTTATTACAGTATATTGTTATAATTTTTTATTTTATTATTGTGTTTAATCTTGTGTCTGATTTATAATTAAACTTCATCATAGGTATGTTTATATAGGAAAAAACTTATAAGGTTTGGCACTATCCTCAGTTTCAGGCATCCACTGGGGTCTTGTGGAACGTACCCCCAGGGATAAGGTGGACTACTCTGTCCCTTCACAGTGTGGATGAGTTTCAACTTTTATTTTTATTTATTTATTTTGAGACAGAGTTCTCACTTTGTTCCCAGGCTAGAGTGAGTGCCATGGCATCAGCCTAACTCACAGCAACCTCCAAACTCCTGGGCTTAGCGATCCTACTGCCTCTGTCTCCCGAGTAGCTGAGACTACAGGCATGCACCCACCATGCCGGTAATTTTCTTGTATATATAGTTAGTTGGCCAAAATTTATTTTCTATTTATAGTAGAGACGGGTCTCGCTCTTGCTCAGGCTGGTTTGAACTCCGACCTTGAGCAATCCACCCGCCTCGGCCTCCCAGAGTGTTAGGATTACAGGGGTGAGAGTTTCAACTTTTTAAGGCCAAATATAATGAACCTGAATTGAAAAAATGCCAGTTTCAGACAATGAGCTCATTATGCGGCTAGAAAATAATGCATTTTATGTGTTAGGTCTCTTCAAACCAGCACAATCATTTTTGTGCTGCTCAGCCTAAGTTTGCTAATGTCTCTTTACTAGTTAAATATTTTACACACACTCCTTAGAAAGGACTATAAGAATTTAAGTCGGAGCTAGACTAAAGCACTTCAACAGATTTCAATATCAAATGGGAACTCCAAAGTCAGACTGGCTGGGTCAAATCCTGCCATGCAGCTTGACCAGTGACAAATCACTAAACATCCCTGTTTCTTTTTTCTTTTTTTTGAGACAGAGTCTCACTTTGTTGTCCAGGCTAGAGTGAGTGCGTGGCGTCAGCTAGCTCACAGCAACCTCAAACTCCTGGCTCGAGCGATCCTTCTGCCTCAGCTCCCGAGTAGCTGGGACTACAGCATGAGCCACCATGCCCGGCTAATTTTTTATATATATACCATCAGTTGGCCAATTAATTTCTTTCTATTTATAGTAGAGACGGGGCTCGCTCTGCTCAGGCTGGTTTGAACTCCTGACCTTGAGCAATCGCCCGCCTCGGCCTCCCAAGAGCTAGGATTACAGGCGTGAGCCACCGCGCCCGGCCATCCCTGTTTTCTTATCTGTAAAATGCAGTTGTTCTGAGGACAGAATCAGTTCACACGCATGAGCATACTAACTTAGAGCAGTGCTTGGAACATTGTGAACCTGCCAGCTATCATGAGCACGATCACTGTTGCAGCAGAGATCTCACCTGATTAAAATAAGTGACAGTTAGCTAAAGTGACATCTCTTTTGAACCACTGGAATGACACTCAGGGTAGCGTGCATTTTCATTGTTTTCAAACAAAATAATAACAAGTCATGGACAAAAGGGTGTTTTCCTGAAACAGAGAATTGAGAAAACTTCCAGGCCTTACCTCCATGCTGTTAAGAGGACACTTGTGACAGGAAACTTCAAAGGAGGCTCTGGTGCCCAGGAGATAAGTAATGTTAAAAATCTTGGCTGTGTGAAATCAACATTAGAACAGTCACCCTCAATTCTTCTTTCTCTCACAGTCCATATCCAACAATCCAGAGTTCCACCCATCCTATGGCTCAAACCTCAGAATTCATCTAGAATGGACCATTTCTTTACTCTCCTTCCCCAACCACCAACACCATCTCCCTCCTAGTATAATAAGCAGTCCTCTTTTACTTGTCTTCAAACTACAGTTGTACAACTGAAACTCAGTTGAGGTCAATAGTAGTTTGTATGATACTAAATTACTTGATGAGACAAATTATGAGCAAGAATTATTGAGGTTGTCTAAATATTAGGGCTGTTATCCACTTTTATTTTTCATATACCTGATGTTACATTATCCTTAGCAGGTTAGTGTGTGATCTACTTAGTTGCAGCCTTAGACACACAAAGATTTTTTTTTTTTTTTTTGAGACAGAGTCTCACTTTGTTGCCCAGGCTAGAGTGAGTGCCGTGGGGTCAGCTGCTCACAGCAACTCCTGGGCTCAGCGATCCTACTGCCTCAGCCTCCCGAGTAGCTGGGACTACAGGCATGCGCCACCATGCCGGCTAATGTTTTGTATATATATATATTTAGTTTGTCAATTAATTTCTTCTATTTTTGGTAGAGACGGGGTCTCGCTCAGGCTGGTTCGAACTCCTGACTCTGAGCGATCCGCCCGCCTCAGCCTCCCAAAGTGCTAGGATTACAGGCTGAGCCACCGCGCCCGCAAGATTTTTTTTTTGTGACAGAGTCTTGCTCTGTTGCCTGGGCTAGAGTGCAGTGGTGTCATCATAGCTCACTGCAACTCCAAACTCCTGGCTTAAAGATTCTCCTGGCCTCAGCCTTCTGAGTAGCTGGGACTACAATTTGCACCACTACACTTGCTTAATTTTTTTTTTTTTTGGTAGAGATGGGGTCTCATCCTTGCTCAGGTTGGTATTGAATCCTGGCTCAACAATCCTCCTGCCCCAGTCTCCAGAGTACTGAATTACAGCCCTAGCCACCATGCCAAGACGGAGTTCGGTTCAATACCATCAGCAAAGCACAGAGACATAGTTAGCATAGTTAATTAAGATAAAGTTGTATCATTCTTGTACTCTCCTTTTTTTGCATTTAAAATGATTTTTAAAACTGCAAGTAAAAAATGTAAATTTTTCTAGGCTATTATTTAACTTTCATGTGCTCTGTAACTAACATATGTGACTTTGGCAAGTCCAATGTCAAGGTATTTATTCATTAAAGTGCTTTCTTATAAATTCAACAAACATTGCCCTGGACCCCATCGTTTGCTACACTGTTCATCCACAGCCAAATCTTCGGGACTATAAGTTTCTGGAGGATAAGGAGCAAACTGTCTTGTCATTTCTCTAAAGCAAGCCCCATTTTTCCCAGACAAATGCATGCACGTATGGGGGTTACACGGAAGGGCTGGACTTGCAGCCTGTTTAATTGTTGCTACTTTGAGCTGTTCTTGCAAGGACTTCATTTGCTCTTGCAACTTCCTTAATTCATCTGGGAAATAAAAATATATTAATTTAGAAAGCAGGAAGAAGAAAATGTTGCATGTGGCAAAAATGCTGGCAATATTTTCATTTTTTACTCCCCCCAAAACCTTCAGATGCATAATATAAGCACATACCTAAACCTCACAATTAACTTTTATACTTTAAAGAGGTCCCTTAGAGAGAGAAACTTTTATTTCCAGCAATCAAATCCCTAACCCCCAAAGGTATTTATAAAGTTGTACCACTCACAAGATCTTATAGATGCATATCCACAGTTAACTACTAAGTTTTTAGGAGTAAAGAAATAATGATACTTATTTCATAAACTCAATGTCAAAACTAATATAATAAATGCTGGCTCATATACTAGAAGAAACAGCCAGTCGCTGCATTTTATTATAACTAAATATATATATATATATATATATACACACATATATATATAAGAAGATGCCAGGAATAGAAAATGGCACACCACATGCCTCAAAGCTTCTGTTCAGGAATGGTCTTCTGGCAAATAGAGTATGTCATAGTTTTGTAGCCTGTCCCAGGCTCCCCATGCAAACACAGCCCCTAAAGTACTATTATTCAGTAAGAAGCATGAAAGGAGTTGGGGCCATCCTGCAGAGAATCAATGACAGCTGGCTGACACTGATACAGTCTGTGGCCTGTCCTTAAAGGCTGGCCTTAAATGTTTCATCTACCAACTCACACAATTTTCTTTTTGCAGTCATTTGTCCCCACCCTTGCAACAGCAGCTACTGTGATACAAACTGTCAGATTGGTGGTCTCCATCTAGTTTATCAGGAAGAGGTTAGAGAAGGCAAGTAGTTAGGGCACCTTGTAACTCCTGATTTGTTTTCTCTTGTCGGGGGGCAGGAGCGAGTGTCAATGCAGGAGCTTCGTCATCTGTTAAGTCCCCGGTATCTCCAAAGAGAGTGGCCAGATTTTCCTTCTGGTCGTCAGCCTTCTCCACGTCTCCGTCATCAGCCTCTTCTGTGTAGGACTCGCCGTCACCGTCAGCATCAAAAAGCTCATCAAAGGTGTCAGGTTCGCCATCTTCCTGGCTCAAGGAGTTACTCTCTTCTGAATTAGAACCCAAGGCCGATTCGTTCTCCTCCAGCAGTGCGGTCAGCAAAGACAGATCATCTTCCTCCCCTGGGGGAAAAAGAAGGGAAATGATAGCTGATTCCAAAAATTCAACATTTACACGGCAATATAATTTTCTTACTAGACTTTATGATTTCTTAGAGAACACACACATCTGTTAGCCTCTTTTTTTGATGTCCATCTCATAGCGAAAAGTTATAGTTTGTATTACATACACTGCCCTTTAGGCAATTTGGTGATTTTAGGAAACAGGAAACTGTCATTATACCACAGGGCAATGAGCTTCACATAAGTGGTCCCCCCTTACCCGTGGTTTTGCTTTATGAGGGTTCAGTTACCCATGGTCAACTGTGGTCTGAAAATAGGTGAGTATAGTATAATAGATATTTTGAGAGATAGAGATCACATTCACATAACTTTTATTACAGTATATTGTTATAATTGTTTTATTTTATTATTGTGTTTAATCTTTGTGTCTGATTTATAATTAAACTTCATCATAGGTATGTTTATATAGGAAGAAACTTATAAGGTTTGGCACTATCCTCAGTTTCAGGCATCCACTGGGGTCTTGTGGAACGTACCCCCAGGGATAAGGTGGGACTACTCTGTCCCTTCACAGTGTGATGAGTTTCAACTTTTTATTTTTATTTATTTATTTTTGAGACAGAGTCTCACTTTGTTGCCCAGGCTAGAGTGAGTGCCATGGCATCAGCCTAACTCACAGCAACCTCAAACTCCTGGGCTTAAGCGATCCTACTGCCTCTGTCTCCCGAGTAGCTGAGACTACAGGCATGCACCACCATGCCCGGCTAATTTTTCCTTGTATATATATTAGTTGGCCAATTAATTTATTTCTATTTATAGTAGAGACGGGGTCTCGCTCTTGCTCAGGCTGGTTTGAACTCCTGACCTTGAGCAATCCACCCGCCTCGGCCTCCCAGAGTGTTAGGATTACAGGCGTGAGAGTTTCAACTTTTTAAGGGCCAAGTATAATGAACCTGAATTGAAAAAAAGCCAGTTTCAGACAATGAGCTCAATTATGCGGCTAGAAAAATAATGCATTTTATGTGTTAGGGTCTCTTCACAACCAGCACAATCATTTTTGTGCTGCTTCAGCCTAAGTTTTGCTAATGTCTCTTTACTAGTTAAATATTTTACACACACTCCTTAGAAAGGACTATAAGAATTTAAGTCGGAGCTAGACTAAAAGCACTTCAACAGATTTCAATATCAAATGTGAACTCCAAAGTCAGACTGGCTGGGTCCAAATCCCTGCCATGCCAGCTTGACCAGTGACAAATCACTAAACATCCCTGTTTTCTTTTTTCTTTTTTTTGAGACAGAGTCTCACTTTGTTGTCCAGGCTAGAGTGAGTGCCGTGGCGTCAGCCTAGCTCACAGCAACCTCAAACTCCTGGGCTCGAGCGATCCTTCTGCCTCAGCCTCCCGAGTAGCTGGGACTACAGGCATGAGCCACCATGCCCGGCTAATTTTTTATATATATACATCAGTTGGCCAATTAATTTCTTTCTATTTATAGTAGAGACGGGGTCTCGCTCTTGCTCAGGCTGGTTTTGAACTCCTGACCTTGAGCAATCTGCCCGCCTCGGCCTCCCAAGAGCTAGGATTACAGGCGTGAGCCACCGCGCCCGGCCATCCCTGTTTTCTTATCTGTAAAATGCAGTTGTCTGAGGACAGAATCAGTTCACACGCATGAGCATACTAACTTAGAGCAGTGCTTGGAACATTGTGAACCTGCCAGCTATCATGAGACACGATCACTGTTGCCAGCAGAGATCTCACCTGATTAAAATAAGTGATAGTTAGCTAAAGTGACATCTCTTTTGAACCACTGGAATGACACCTCAGGGTAGGCGTGCATTTTCATTGTTTTTCAAACAAAATAAATAACAAGTCCATGGACAAAAGGTGGTTTTCCTTGAAACAGAGAATTGAGAAAACTTCCAGGCCTTACCATCCATGCTGTTAAGAGGACACTTGTGACAGGAAACTTCAAAGGAGGCTCTGGTGCCCAGGAGATAAGTAATGTTAAAAATCTTGGCTGTGTGAAATCAACATTAGAACAGTCACCCTCAATTCTTCTCTTTCTCTCACAGTCCATATCCAACAAATCCAGAGTTCCACCCATCCTATGGGCTCAAACCTCAGAATTCATCTAGAATGTGACCATTTCTTACTCTCCTTCCCCAACCACCAACACCATCTCCCTCCTAGTATAATAAGCAGTCCTCTTTCACTTGTCTTCAAACTACAGTTGTACAAACTGAAACTCAGTTGAGGTCAATAGTAGTTTGTATGATACTAAATTACTTGGATGAGACAAATTATGAGCAAGAATTATTGAGGTTTGTCTAAATATTAGGGCTGTTATCCCACTTTATTTATTGTCATATACCTGATGTCTACATTATCCTTAGCAGGTTAGTGTGTGATTCTACTTAGTTGCAGCCTTAGACACATAAAGATTTTTTTTTTGTGACAGAGTCTTGCTCTGTTGCCTGGGCTAGAGTGCAGTGGCGTCATCATAGCTCACTGCAAACTCCAAACTCCTGGGCTTAAAGAATTCTCCTGCCTCAGCCTTCTGAGTAGCTGGGACTACAAATTTGCACCACTACACTTGCTTAATTTTTTTTTTTTTTTTTGTAGAGATGGGGTCTCATCCTTGCTCAGGTTGGTATTGAACTCCTGGCTTCAAACAATCCTCCTGCCCCAGTCTCCCAGAGTACTGGAATTACAGCCCTAAGCCACCATGCCAAGACGGGAGTTCGGTTCAATACCATCAGCAAAGCACAGAGACATAGTTAGCATAGTTAATTAAGATAAAGTTGTATCATTCTTTGTACTCTCCTTTTTTTTGCATTTAAAATGATTTTTAAAACTGCAAGTAAAAAATGTAAATTTTTCTAGGCTATTATTTAACTTTCATGTGCTCTGTAACTAACATATGTGACTTTGGCAAGTCCAATGTCAAGGTATTTATTCATTAAAGTGCTTTCTTATAAATTCAACAAACATTGCCCTGGACCCCATCGTTTGCTACACTGTGTCATCCACAGCGAAATCTTCGGGACTATAAGTTTCTGGAGGATAAGGAGCAAACTGTCTTGTTCATTTCTCTAAGCAGCCCCATTTTCTCCCAGAACAAATGCATGCACTCTTCCCCACCCTCAAATCCAGGGCTATCCAACAAGTTCTATCTCCAAAATATTGCTTGAATCTCCCATTTGTCTCCAACTTCCCCGCCAAAACCCTGGTCCAAGCCACCATCAACCTTGGCCTGCATGACTGTTTGCTGCCTGTGTTGGTCTCTTTGCCCCTCTGCAATCTATTGCCCATACAACAGTCACAGTAATCTTTCCTCTCCTTAGTAATCTTTTAGGAGCATAAATCAGATCATGGTATTGCCTTAAGTGAAATTCTTTAATGATTTTCCATCGCCCTTAGAACAAAATCTACAAAGCTTGAGAGGCAATGGATTCTTTCTCTCTCTCTCTCTCTCCTGCTTCTACTTCCTCATCTTTTCTACGGCATGCGTTTGGCAAGCATTTTAAAAGGTTTACTTTTAAAAAGAAAAAAAAAAACCTAGTTCCTTAAGGAGATGACCGGGCAATTCCTAGCTCCAGCCCCGGCAGCCCCGCGCCGTCCGGAGCTCGCCCCCGCGGCCGCCCGGCTCCAGATCGCGCCCACCCGAGCCCCCGGAGCTCGGCGCCTCTCGCAGACCCTCCCCCAGACACGCGAGGCGGTCCCCTGCCCCGCCGCCCAAGGGACACCCGCGCGCCTGAAACCCGCGACTCTCACCCACGCTGGCCCCTCTTCCCGGTCTACAGTGAGACCCGCCAAAATTCCAACTGGACTCCGCCCCCGGCCCTGACGTCAGACGCACGCGGCTGTGGGGCCGCATTGATTGGTTACGTCAGAACTCTCGGTGTGGGGAGAGAACGGAACACGGCCCGGCCTCAGAGCAATCTGATTGGTCTACGTCATCGGGCGCCATCTTTGTTAGGGGCAAGGGAATTTCCGGTCGGTGCCGCCTTAGGCTCCCTGAGGTAAAATACGGTGTTTGGCGCCTCCCAGCGCGCGCGCGAAGTTCAAATCTTCCCGTGCGGTATTTTTCCCTGAGGTCCGAACTGAATTCCCGACACTTTCCGAGCTGTCTGAGCCCCATTTTCTGCCTCTGTGAGGTAAAGGGGACGGCGAATGCAGAGAAGCCGGGACATTTACCGTCACCCGCCGCGCACGCCCCACACGCCGCTGCTGCCCTCACACCTTCCCTGTGGCTCTTACGTCGCACGCTGTGGTCTCAAAAGACTGACCCAGGTAGGCGGGGAAGTATTGTGCTACCTTGTGATGCCAGCGTCGGTGGCATCTTATCCGTTTTCTCAGTAAATTTGAGGTATGTGAAAGGAGCATTTTTTTTGTCTCAACTAAGGAGTCTTTAGCGAGTTATGTAGACCTAAGGAAAGGCTCCAGCGAACCGTAGGAAGTGGTCGTGTAGACGCCTGAACAAGCTGGCTGATTATTCCGCTCGGCTTTGCCAGGCTTGCGTGCAGTTGAGACGTCTGGACTCGAACACAGACAGATCCGGTACAATCTCACTCCGTCCGACCTCGGGGGTGTCACTTGTCTCTCTGGCTTTGCGCGTCACCGTCTGTGCAAGGAGGGAAGGGCTGGATGACACCCTCTGACACAGGAACCGCCGTTTTCAGTCACTGGTGGTCCCTAGATTTCGAGAATCGTAACTGGTGTCAGCGCTGAGGAGACCACATCATTCACGGAATATCTTTTCCAGTAAAATTCAGACCTTTTGAGCTATTGACGTTCTAAAAATAGTGTTTGTATATAACACTAAGAACACGGTTCTTACATGCAGAATGATATTTAGCTTCTACGTAATTTCAAAGAATTCGAAGCAGAAGGGTTCTTGATGGGCCAAATGACCTTTTAAGTTTTTTTTCCCTCCTCGCAGATACTGTTCTGGCGCTGCAGTCCCCTACTAATAGGGCATTTCACATAAGACGGTATATCTATCTACTTCATTTCCAAAACAATTAAAATCAGCTTTAGAATGACTGGAAAAGAAACAGTCCTGATGCCATCCGTCTACATTGATTTTTTTTCTGTGTCTTAATGGAATATTAATGCTCCATTTATGAGCTGAGTCCCATTATTTGAGCCTATTATATTGACCCAGGAGTAGGAACAATACCACTTTTATTTTAAAATATTTTTAGAGACAAGGTCTCACTCTGTTACCCAGGCTGCAGTGCAGTGGCACTATCATAGCTCACTGTAACCTCAAACTCCTGGGCTCAAGTGATCCTCCCACCCCAGCCTCCGGCCTAGCTGGGACTATAGCCATCTGCCCCAACGCCCAGATAATGTTTAAATTTTTTGTAGAGACGAGGTCTCTCTACGTTGGCAGGTTGGTCTCAAACTTCTGGGCTCAAGTGATCGATCCTCCCACCTAAGCTTCCCAAAGTGTTGGGATTGATTATAGCCATGAACCATGTACCCAGCCCAGTACCACTTTTGAGAATTGCTAGTGTTGACGAATTCACAGTAAAAACTCTAGTAATCAAATTGAAGAAATGTGTTTAAATGCATTGCTGCATCTAGTTATAAAATGATTCAACACAGATTTACTCTTAGCCATTATGCAGGAATTCCTTGACCAATTCTGATTAGCATTCTCAAGTTCCTTTTTTCACCTTGACTTTCCAGGTCCTCTTTGCATCCAATTCCATGCAAGGAGTAAAAAATAGTACCAGTCGAAGCCCTCAAACCTTGAGTTAAGGATCAAACAATTCTTATTGGAATTAGCATAGCAGTGATTTTGAGAAAAAGGTGGAGGTGATTTTGAGAAGGAATCAGGAGAGTAGGTTCAAAACCCACTGAATAGGAAAATATTCGGGAGAGAGAAGGAAGGGCAGGGGAGACAGGTTTACCATGATTTTTAGGTTTCTGATTTATGCAACTGGATGGTTTTTGAGGCAATGCACTGAAGTAGGGAACAGAAGAAGAACAGAACAGGTTTAGTGTTCTATTTCAGAATGAGATGTGTGAGGTATACTGATTAAGAAGGGCCAGTAGCCAGCTTGATCTCCAAATCTGGGGTTCTAAGGAGAGGTCTGTGCTCCCCTTAGAATACAAATGGAGGTCCACAAAGAGCAGCTCTGAGAGTCATCAATATATATCTGAAATGAAATCTAAAACAAGAGTCTATATTTAGTGGTTCTTAACCTTTTGGGGAAGGAATTTGATCACAAACCCCTTTAAAATATAATGAAAGACTAGATGTGGAGGCTCACACTTGTAATCCCAGCATTTTGGGAGGCAGGAGGATTGCTTGATGCCAGAGACCAGCCTGAGCAAAAGCAAGACCCCATCTCTACAAAAAATAGAAAAATTAGCCAGGTGTGGTGGCGCATGCCTGTAGTCCCAGCTACTCGGGAGGCTGAGGCAGGAGGATCTCTTGAGCCCAGGAGTTTGAAGTTGCAGTGAACTGTGATGACACTGCTGCACTCTGGGCCAGGTGACACAGCGAGACTCTGTCTCAAAAAAAAAAAAAAAAGAAAAAGGGTTTTTTTCCTCCCAGAAAAATGCACACTCATACACTCAAGATTTTGTATACCCTTATAGGGGATTCACGTGTTTTCCTAAAGCCCATCTACAGACACCCCTCCAAATTAAGAACTTCTGGTGCAGCAGATCAAAACCCTGGGGAAACACAAACATTTGGGGGGAAGCAGCTGAGGCCAACAAGAGGGCCAGAGATGGGGTGAGCAGGAATAGCCAGTGGTTAGGGAAGCAGTACTGCCCTGAGCCTAAGCAAGAGGGCTCCCTGGCCCAGGCCTGCCCTTCCAGCTGTGCTTCTCCTCCCCTCAGGGAGCAAGTCCCAGGGCCAACGGGACATACCCATCCGGATCCTGGGCAACCCCTGGTAGCCAAAGCTCTAGGTCCTGAGGCCTAGTTTGTACTCCTTGCCTTGGGTTTTTCCAGGGTAAGGGGTGGGCCTGCAGGATAATGAGGGTGCAGAAAGCCAAGGAAGGAGAGTTTTAGGAAGCAAGTGGCAAATGTCAAAGCTCTAGAAAAGCAGTGCCTTTCAAAGTCCCATCTCTGAACTAGCAGCATCAGCATTTCACTGGGAAATTGTTAGAAACCACATGCTGGCCCCGTGCCAGACCTACTGAATCAGTGACTGTGGGGGTGGGACCCAGCACTCTGTGTTCAGCCTTTGTAATTATTTCATCTCTCTATAGCAGTGGCTCTGAAAGTTTAGAGTGTTTCAGAATCACCAGGAGGGCTTTTTAAAAGTTGTCACAAAACAAGAAAGGGAAACAGGCAGGAGAGAGGGAAAGCTTAGTTGGCTTCAAGCCTCCTTCCTCCAAAGGCCACAGGCCCATGTTGCTAAGCACCTCCTGCTGACATGGGAAAGTTCCTCATGCTCATATCCAGTGACTCAGTCTTACAGACTGCATCTCTGATCTCCTGAACCCATGCTCTCCTCCACATCTTCATTAATGGGACCCTTTAAAAAAATTTTTTTTGACATGGGGGTCTTGCTATATTCCTCAGGCTGGTCTTGAAGTCCTGGCCTCAAGTGATCCTCCTGCCTTAGCCTCCCAAGTATCTCGGACTACAGGTGTGAGCCACTGAGCCTGGCTTGGACCCTCTATAGGCTCTTCTCATTCTTCTCATCTTGACCTTTTTTTTTTTTTTTTTTAACCTCTAACTGGTCTATTTCCAATCCCAACCACCTCTAATCCATTTCTCTTATTGCTTCCATTTACAGTAATATCTTGGCATGGCTTTTCCCTGATTAAAATCTGTTCATAGCTTCTCAGTCCCTATAAATTCCCAACTTCTCATCATTTAAGATCTTTACTTACAGGTCCTACCTACTCCTGCCTACTTTTCCACTAACCTCAACTCTCATCTTTCCTTACTGAATCAATCAGTTGTTCTTCCAGCCATACTGAACTATTCCATTTTTCTCAAATAGTCTAGGTTCTGGCATGTCTCGGAGCCTTTGTGCCTGCAGATCTCTCAGCTTGAAATGCCTTTGACCATGTGGTCAACTCCAATGACCTGGTCAACTCCTATTCACCCAGCTAAGCTCAGTCCAGGAGCCCTCTCCTTTGTGAAGCTCTTCTGGACGTCCTGGGCTAAGCATCCCTGCTTGGTGTTTCCTAGAGCTCTAGACTGGTCTTGCACATGGAGCTTTCCACAGTGCACCCTTATCGTGTATGTCCTCTGCCTCTTCCTGCCATACCATGAGCATCCAGAGAGCAGGGAACCATGTTGTAGTCATCCTCCCACCTCTTCCTGTGTCTTCTCTCTTGCTGCCTGGCCTGCACATGGTAAATGTTTATGGAAAGAAAAAACTGAATAGTGTATTTGCTACTTAACAAGCCACTTAGCATTTGGGGGCTTAGTTTTTCTCCTGTAAGGTGTGATAAAAGCAATACCCAGATTAGAGGATTTTAGGGAGGATCAAATGAGAATTTCTAGTATATTTTCACACATCTGTTACTAGCCACAATCATTTATTGCCTTATTTGTAAAGGTGTTGGACAAAGACATGTCTATATTCCAGGAATTTATAGTCAAATTTGGGAGTTATGATGACATAAGCATAAAAGATAAATAACATCATGCAGTGGATGTTATTTATCAATGCGAACCGATTTTGCTGAGAGGAGAGAACATATAGAAAAGAGGCAGGGACATTAAAGGAAGTAGGTAGAAACTAATCGTGTGGAGGATGATGAACACCAGGTCAAGAGCTTTATTTTGTAAGCAATAAAAAGATTATGTTTGAGCAGGTGGGAGAGGAAGGTGGAGGGGTAGAGGGAAGGTGTGGCTGAGCGCTTGGGCTGGAGTTTGGACTGCATGTTTCTAACTTCCACAGACAGCACTGTCTCTACAACCTTGGGTGACCTACTTAACCTCTCAGTGCCTCAGCTTACTCATCTGCCAAACAGAGGTAGTAATTTTAAAGTTATTTCATAGGACATTGTGAGGATTAAATGAGAAAAACTTGAAAATATGCCTAGTGTGCCTGGCATGTGTAAGCATGAAACATGAGTTAATTGATATTCTCACTGCTCTATAAGGAAGATTGTTCAGGAAGATCAAGCTAACAAAGATGGGTGCTCGGGAATTGACTGTACAAGAGACTGGAGGCAGAGAAGCTTGTCAGAAGGTTGTGACAGTCTCAGAGTAGGAGAGTTGAGGGAAGGGCCAAATGGGCAACTATGATGAAGGAAAACCTATCTGCTCTGGTAACTGACTAGAGGAAAGTGATCTCAGGAAAGGAGAGGATGATGGTCAGGTTGGCAATACTTGGGAATCTGGTATTGCCAGATTCTCATAGGAATACTCTCATAGGAATGGACCAGAAGTTTGAAAGAGGGGCCTGCTTTGGAGCAGGCAGAGATGATGAATGCAGTCAGAGGCGGTGGTGTGGAGATTTCAGCAGGTTCCTTTAGACTTGAGACTGAAGCCAGGGGGATGTACCAAGGCTTCAGATGTAGGTTTGGGGGGTCTGTTCAGTGAATGTACTTGAGTTCTCTAAGTGGAGATTACAGAAGCAGAATGTCTTTGAGTGTGTTTACCTGGTTAATGCATTAAGCCAATGTTTATTAAAACAATGTTAATTAAAAACATTCAACCAATGCTTCCATCTTTAGGCCCAGCAGGAAGCAATGCTATTCCAAATCAGACCTATTGGGAGTAACAGCCCGTGTTGTTTCACAACCCACCTGCCACCACCTCCTTGCCACCGTCTGTTTACGTCTGACTTCACATCTTCCATGCCTTGTGCTGCAGAACTCTCTAGAGGCTTAGCCCAAACTTGCATTTGTCCAACTGCCTGGACCGACGCCCTTTACTGAGAAAAATGTTATCCTTACTCAGGGGCAGCCCTCTACTTAGAGATGAGTGGAGCTCCTGAGAAAGAGAAAAACCCAACCTCTTTTATTTTCATAAGAGAGAATATTGTCTTTGTTACGCAAACAGATGTCTATTGCTCTTCAGCCAATCTAGAGGTTACTTTAAACAACAGGGTAGGTCCCCTCAATTAAGTAACCTCAATTGATGTTTTGCAAAGAGAAGCCAACAAAGAGACTAGGCTTGGGGGTCTTAATTAATTCATAACAATGTTTTATACTTTTCTTCCTGGGTTTTTCTGGATTAATAACTACAATGTATATTTTATATGTGTGAAATAACTTTTCCTTCCTGATTATAGCTCCATATATTTGAAAGACAAAATTGCTACATAAATCTATCAGCTCATGGAGAGTTCCTAAATAAATACATTTTGTATTATGTGTCACAGGTTTGCAGTTACTTAGCTAAAAAAAATTACTCAACAATGACTAATATTTTCATAGGAAGAGTACAATTGTCATTTCAGTAATTTTTTAAAATGATGAACTATGTAAGTCAAAGGATGCCAAATAAGATGCTAAGATTATACTTTTTTTAATCTGTCATTCATCACAAAGCAATTTTGTTATCTTTTGTTGTTCTATTAAGACATGAAAATATTAATCCATATACTTTATTCCTGTTATACTTAAAAGCTACAACTAGGTGACATATCCAGTTTCTCTCACTGAATTAATGATGGCATAATAAAACTGATATTTCATTAAAAATCATCCAAGTTAGCCATTACATTATGTGTCAAATGGAAATGTTAATCTTCACAACAATGTTGCTTTTCTGATTCAAACAATGAATTTTAGATGTGCTCATATTAAGTAATCTTACAGTTCAAAGTTTTTTTTCCATTTAAAAAAATAATAGACTATTTTTTAGAGCAGCTTTAGGATTATAGAAAAATTGAGTGGAAAGAATAGAAAGTTCCCATATAGCTCCTTTCAAACACACAGTTTCCCCTACTCTTAACATCTTGCATTAGTGTGGGACATTTGCTACAATTGATAATTTGATATATTGATACATTATTATTAACTACAGTCCATAGTTTATTAGGTCACACTCTGTGTTGTGCAGTTCTGTGGGTTTTGACAAATGCATTCATCATTACAATACCATACAGAATAGTTCCACTGCCCTAAAAATCTCCTGTGCTGCACTTCTTCATTCCTCCCTCTTACCAGTCCTTGGCCACCACTATTGTCCCCATAGTTTTGCTTTTCCCAGAGTGCCATATAGTTTGAAGTATACAGCATGTAGCCTTTGCAGAATGGCTTCTTTCACTTAGCAATATGCTTTTAAGTTTCCTCCATAGTTTTTCTTTTTTTTTTTTTTTTTTTTTTTTTACTGCAGAAATAAGAGTGAGTGCCGTGGCGTCAGCCTAGCTCACAGCAACCTCAAACTCCTGGGCTCCAGTGATCCTTCTGCCTCAGCCTCCCGGGTAGCTGGGACTACAGGCATGCGCCACCATGCCCAGCTAATTTTTTATATATATATCAGTTGGCCAATTAATTTCTTTCTATTTATAGTAGAGACGGGGTCTCGCTCTTGCTCAGGCTGGTTTTGAACTCCTGACCTTGAGCAATCCGCCCGCCTCAGCCTCCCAGAGAGCTAGGATTACAGGCGTGAGCCACCGCGCCTGGCTCATAGTTTTTCTTTTTTTTTTTCTTTTTTTTTTTTCCTGAGATAGGGTCTCACTCTGTTGCCCAGTGCAGTGGCATTATCATAGCTCACTGCAACCTCAAACTCCTGGGCTCAAGTGAACCTCCCATCTCAGCCTCCCAAGTAACTGGGACTACAAGCACACACTACCATGCCCAGGTAATTTTTTTATTTTTTGTAGAGCCAGGGTCTTGCAATGTGGCTAAGGCTGGTCTTGAACTCCTGGCCTCAAGCGATCCTCCTGCCTTGGCCTCCCAAAGTGCTGGGATAACAAGTGTAAGGCTGGTGGCGGGCCCCCTCCCTTCCCTAGTTCATAAAAGAAAAGGCTCGTGAGGTCAGACCTGCCAAGGACAAAACTGCCAGGCCCCGCTGAGAGGATCCACACCCAGATGTCCACCTGGATAAGAATGTTTTGGCTCCTGGATTTCACAAACACCTCCAGCCCCTCCTTTCCTCAATGACCACCCAAGGTCACAATGGAAAATCCCCCGCTCTTCCCGCCAAAAGTTTCTACCCAGGCCCAAAAGATATAAAAGGCCTCAGCCCCTTCAAACGGGCACGACTTCTGGGGCCCCCCTCTCTTTAGACCCCAGAACCTCGTCCACGAGTGTATAATAAAGCCACGTGGTTTGGCCCCAACTCTCTCCCTCTCTGTCTGTCTTTTCTTCTCACCGCCGCCAAAAACCTTACAACAAGCATGAGCCACTATGCCTGGCCCCTCTATGTTTTTTCATGTACTGCTAGCTCATTTCTTTTTATTGGTGAATAATATTCCATTGTATGGATGTACCACAGTTTATCTATTCACCTATTGAAGGACATCTTGGTTGCTTTCAAGTTTTGGCAATCACAAATAAAGCGATTGTATATATTCATGTTCTGGTGAAGAATGGGTATATGAGAGATTCTTATGACAAATCCAAACAATGGAGATTCTCTTAAATGTTTTAGAACCTAGATGCATAGAGACATTGTATACCTCTATGGCCAGCCCAGTATTAACCAGTCTTGATAAATTATAGGTTTATAGAATATAGAAAATCCCTATCTATTCACCTCCTTAGTAAGAACAACTTCTAATTCAAACAACATGTATTGGTCTCCAGTAAAGAGATTTGCTTATATTTATAGAATTAATGAAATATCTATGACTAAGTATTAAGCTAAGTGAGCTTAATACAGAAAATGCATATTATGAAATTAATCATATATGAACAATGTTAAAGATTCATAAGCAAAATTTTATTTTGCAATAACTATTTTTGTGATTATGAAGATAAAACCTGATCCAGGAAGGAAATGAATAAACAGTTGTTCTTTTTAGAAATTAATAAACTATCTACTGTACAAGCCCATACACCTATAGTACAATGAAAGAATGAAGATAATATCTTTACATTGTGAATGGTTATGAGAAATCCAGTGACCCTAATGTTATCTACTTCATATATGCCAATATTTTCTCACCTGTCCTGAAATAATTGAAAAATCACATTCTCATATGAAAAGAGTGATATCATAGCTTTGGTATAATTACTGTGGCTACAATAAAACTACAACATACATACAAACATATAACCCCAAATAGATCCATTCTAAATGGATGAAGTAATAATATAATTTATTTTAAAAAGTACTTCAAAGACATTTTTCTTGATTAAATCTGTACCACTTAATTTTTCCTGCCTCCTTAAAAGGTTCTTAAAATTTATCCATGAAATTTCTTCCATCTAATTACATGAACTGTGTCACATGATGTCACAAGCTGGTTAAATGCATGAGCTGGGCAATTGCTCGCATAAACCAAACATAAAAAATACTGAGGTTATTATCAGAAGAGTGGTAGTTAAGGATTCTATCCTGCGCGTTTATGGGATTCCACAAAAAGTGTTCTACTTAGAGCAGATACATTTTCTTTCTCCTAAAACAAGCATAATGAGGCAAAATATCTGAGTGAAAACAAATAACACAAAAGTACAACTCTTGGAGGAAAAAATCTGACATTTACCAACAATTTTGGGGAGATGAAACGTCAACACTTAAATGATGCAGTCCATCACGTGAATCTGTAACGTGTCTATGTCAGGCAGGACTTCTCCACATTTGGGGCAAGAATGAATTTGAATATTCTGTTGTTGCTGTTGTGGCCAGTTCCTGTCCTCAGCTCCTGAGACAAGCATGAAATAAAATGTCATTCTGTTAGTTTCCTTTTGTAAGTAGTTTCGCTTGTTTGATTTTTAAGAATAGATGATTAATTTTAACATCAACTACGCTGTGTCATCAATACCCAGTGGGACATGAACACAAGTGTCTGGTCTTTAACTGAAGTCATCACTATGCACACAGAGAAAATCTCCCAAAATAGTATCCCTGCTTCCCTATTATTCTAGGTATGGGAAAATATTAATACATGATTTCAGTTCTAGATACAGGGCAATACATGTTCTAGTAAAAACTAGAATACTGGGCCAGGCATGGTGGCTCACACCTGTAATCCTAGCACTTTTAGAGGCTGAGGTGGGAGGATTGCCTAAGGAGTTCAAGACCAGCCTGGGCATAGCAAGACCCTGTCTCTACAAAAAATAGAAAAATTAGCCAGGTATGGTGGCACACCTATAGTTCCAGCTACTTGGGAGGCTGAAGTACTGAGGATCACTTGGGTCCAGGAGTTTGAGGTTGCAGTGAGACATGATAATGCCACTGTACTCGGCCCAAGGCGACAGAGTGAATCCGTCTCAAAACACACACACACACACACCCCTCTAGAATACTGGAGAGAAGAAAAGAGACGAATGAGGATATAAGCAAAATAGAGAGAGAATGCAGAGAAAGAAATCAACAGAGCCAGGGAGAGGTCTCCTAGAGCAGGATGTCCCTGCTCAGAAGCAGAGACAATAATGTCATTTATTGAATAGACGCTGAGACCTCCAGGATGTGCAAGAGACTGCTGTGTCTGGGAGACAGATGTGGCACGGAAGCCATGGGAGAGAAGTGGCAGAGGCTGCGTGGTGAGGTTAAGTGTCAGGCACACGAGGGTTCAGTGGGAGTCAGAGAAGGGCCCTGGCTCTGGCCTCAGTGCAGATTACACCTGAGAGAAGGAAGCCTCGAGAAGGAAGAGGAGTTATCCAAGTAAAATGAGTGAGGAGAAACACCTGAAGAATGCATTTTGTCATACCCTCAATTCTGAAGTTATGCTGAGGTTCAAGCCTAAATTAGAGAATGTTTGCAAGAAGCCCTGACTCTGGTTAGGTCTCCTGTGTACAAACTGTGATCCATGCCGGGGAAACTACTTTTGGCTCCCGGGCATCTCTCTGATCTGATCTTTCTGGACCAATGCAAACCAGTTTGGTTTTTAAATCACTGCCTAGACTTTGGTATAGGCCTCAAAATGTTTGTTTTTGGAGGTAACCTTTAACATGGCTATTTGCTTCTAAGAACATTATTTAAATGTAATAACATATAAGACTATTAAGATGGTTTGTGTTCAGTGATCTTAAGAAGCATTTGTGAGTAGATATATTGATCACAAAGCATGATTTCTGAAGCAGGGAGCTTTCTAATGGTCACACTGAGATCAGGGGTCGGAAACTCCTTCTGTAAAGGGCCAGAGTAAAAATTGTAGGCTTTGCAGGTCATATAATTTCTGTCACAACTACTCAGCTCTGCCAGTAGAGCATGAAGTGCCCTACAGACAAAATGTAAACAAAAGGGCATGACTCTGTCCCAGTAAAACTCTACAGGCCAAATCCTGGTCTAGGCTTCAAGACCCCCCACTTGGGCTGCTGCGCCAGCCTGCTCACAGCCCTTCTGCCTCCTGGCTCTTTGCTCTGTAATAACCTTTGTCTTTTTTCATTATCAGCACATCATCCTTACTTCTGCCCTTGCATCATGGTTTTCTAACCCCTAGTTTCGAGGTCAGGCTTAACGGGATATCTTTCCAAGGCCTTTCTCCACTCCTCTGGCCCTTAGTGATCAAACCCTTTCCTCCATCTTCAGAACCATTCTTTCCCTCCGTCACAGGCTATCCACTGTGAATGCACCTTTTCACATGCAAATCCTTTCTCTCCAACAAGACCACACCCTTTAAGGATCTGCCCCTGCCCTGTGCCTCCTCTCCTGGTGCTTAGCTGCCTGTCCTGGAACAGAGCACACTCCTAAACGGCTGCAGATGACAACTATGATGGAATTTATTAAGAGGATTGTTGTTTAAAGCCATCTTATCAAGAAATAAAAAATTCTTTTTATAACAAATAAGTTTATTAGGACAATTAAGAATGAATTTATGCTTTGTGAAGATTTTTAGATTACATATATAAGTCAAAGAGTGACCAGTTCTTTTCTTTCTTTGATGGAAATAGGTATTAACCTAATATAAAGAAGAAAAATCTTCCTTTAAGAAATCTAGGTGCAAGAGATTGCTCTCTTTGACTTGAGTCAATCTTGTAGGGCACTTCTAGAAATCAGGTTTATAGGTGTTGCTAGGACATTTAAAATCAGGTTCAAGAAAATACCTGGCAGGGCTCAAGTGAGTAAATGCTTCTTTCAGAGAGGAACATAGCTATACCCACTGATGCTAAAAAATGCGAGGTTAATATTTTTAGTAGGCCACATGCTACTTCTTCTAGCATGTGCTTCCTGAATAATACTATGTTGATTTTCAACCTAAATTACTGCCTTTAATATTTAACCTATTTTTTTTTTCCTGCAAGGGAGCTTTGGTATGTGGGAGAAGGGGGAGATGGTGGATAAAAGGAATACTTGGAGAAATTTCCCCCAGATTTAAAAATTTACTACATACACTGAACTGACAGAGTCTCACTATGTTGCCCAGGCTGGTCTCGGACTCCTGGCCTCTAGTGATCCTCTCACCTTGGCCTCCTAGAGTGCTGGGAATTTTACCTTTGTTCATACCTACAATCAAAGATAAAAATTCTTTTCCTTTCAGTGATAAGACAGTGATTTGTTATAAACTAAAGAATGCTATTATTAGTGTATTAAAACCATGTAATAAATATAGCACCATACTATTAAGAAGTGCCATGATCAGTTTCACTCAGAGAATTAACATCTGGATATTATATAATTAAATGGCATTCTGTTCTATGCAGTACTGTGTAGAGTCAGAGTCAGACAAAGTCAGACAACCTTGGGGTCCACTTCCAATCTGCCTCTAACTAGCCTTGCAATCCTGGGTTATTTAACCATGTCAAATTTCAGTTTTGTCTTCTGTTAGAAGGTGATAATTCATGCCTCATGTAATTTTGTGAGGCTCAAATGAGATAATACCTATGTTGTGAGATCAGCATAGAGACTGACATAGTAAACTCTCAATAAATGGTAATATTATTATGTGCATAACACCAGGTAGTAGGTGCAGATACATGCTCCAGGGGCTTATCACTGAATAAAGTACTTAAATACCTACTTAGGACACATAAATGCTTATAAAATAGCAGATAAATACCAAAACAAAGGAATACAATACTTTCGAAGTGCAAGAGGGAGAGGATGCATAGAGATGGAATTTGAAAAGGGTTTTAAAGACGGGGTAAGGGTAAGGGAATTTGAAAAGGGTTTTAGAGACTGGAAGAAGATGGGAACACGCATGAGAAGGGCATCTATGTGAAAGACACTGCATAAATAAACATACACATACATAAGCATAGGCTTAGGACCAGTGGAAGGAGACAGTTCAGTTTGGCTCATGTCTGTAGGAAGGCAGAGTGAGACAAGGCTTAACAGCTGGCCATGCCAGGCTTATGTGATGGGGCAAGAGTCTGGTCTGGATTCAGTGGGTTGTGGATGGAGACTAGAGCACTGTGGGAATGAGACTGGTGGACATTGTATTTTGGGTAGCTCGATTTAGAATCTATTGTGTAAATTATAGTGGAATTTTTCTTCAATTGTCTTTTTTTATAGGACACTTGTCATTCCCGGAAAACCCAGAATCGCACAGGACTCACCTCTCTGAACAAGGTAAGCCTGTTGGTCGGGATCACTTGTTCTCGCCCCATGACGGCTCTGCATTTCCATCAAGGACTGCCTACTGGGATTAAAAGCAACACTATATGTAATGTTCTACAACCCTGAAACATGACAACATTAAGCACATAGTCAACAGAAGTAGGAGAAAAATAAAGTCAAACTACAATGCCAAAACTGAGGTTCATAAAAACCAGAACTTGAAACTAATTTGAGTTTTAAATACTAGTGGCACTAGGATACTATGTTGTACAAGTAAATAATTAAGATTAAAAACAAACCAGTTAGGACATAACTAAACTTTGATTGATAGGGAATGGATTAGAAAAAAGTGGCATATTTCCAAATCAAGACACTATACAGCAATTAAGTACAGTGAATTAAACCTGCATTTATCAACATTGACAGAGTTCAAAATCACAGTGTTATACGAAGCAAGTTGTAGAACAATACCTATAGTGATTATTTTATAACTTAAACACAAAGAAATCAATATTATCTTGTTTTAAGATAATATATAGGGGTGTATGTATATATGGAAAAGTGTAAAATAGATGGGGAGACTGCCCACCAAACTTCTGGTGATACAGGAAAGAGAAGGGAGGAATTTAATGAAGGATGAGGGACAAAGGAAAATTCAACTTTATCTACAACTTCCTTTTTTCCTTTAATTAAAAAAAATACTGGAAGCAAATAAAACAAATGTTAGCAACTGTCAATTCAGGATGGGGGACATATTGGTGTGGGTTATTTTTTCCTCTGTATTTTACTATGTTTCAAAGCTTTCCCAAAATAAATTTTTAAAAGTCAGAAGCAATTTTTGGCAGTATTTTCTTTTAAAGCATATTAGAGAATTTGAAGTGTTATGAATATTTCATTTATGACAATGGCAAGATAGGGACACATAATGTTAGGTTTTCACAGCTTCTCTAAAAGCAAGGAACTTGATCAGCTTCCACAAATCTCTGTCAAGCTTTGCTGTAAAATCCAACCAAGCACTGGGAACATGATCAAGTGAAGCGTACATGGAGCAATTCTTATAGCTCAAATTAGGAAACATGTTGGAAAAGGTCACCTCTGCTACAGCCCATGCTGACGTGTGCTCTAAGCCAGGGGTCTCCAACCTATGGTGAGCTGTATAATTATTTCATTATATATTACAATGTAATAATACTGGAAATAAAGTGCACAATAAATGTAATGTGTTTGAATCGTCTCAAAACCATCCCCTCGCCCCAGACCGTGGAAAAATTGTCTTCCATGAAAATGGTCCCTGGTGCCAAAAGGTTGGGGACCACTGCTCTAAGTCTTCCTCTCTCTTTACCTTACCTGCTGCCATCTTCAAAAACATCATTCTCTTTCAGCAAAATTGCCAGCTGCAATGCCAGTTGCTCTTTTTCTTCATGAATCTTCTCTCTTGCTGCTCTTTCAGCATGAAAATCAGAACAGTAAACCTCCATCTGTTAGAGGAAAAAAGATACAGAAGTTACTATGTTGACAAATGTAGGTTCTCTGTGGTTCTCTAGCTGTTGATGAGGTGAAGAGCTAGTGCTACATCCTCTGATAGGCCTTGTAAATAACAGATACATGTTCCTGCTAGAAACTGGTATAATGACCCCAACTTTCCAACTACAGTCCACTAGTAGATACAAAAGTTGTATGTGCATGTGTGCTGTAAACAGTTCAAATCCTGCCGTACAGTGACTAGAGCTAATAACAAGGCATTGCATGTTTCAAGATAGCTAGAAAAAGTTAATGCCATAAAGAAATGATAAAGATTTGAGGTGATAGACATGCTAACAACCTTGATTTGATCATTATACACTGTACCCATGTACTGAAACATCACACTGTACACCATAAACATGTACAATTAAATGTCAGTTATAAACAAAATCTTAAAAATCAAATCATTCAAAAAATTATCAAGTAAAAACAAAATAATAGTAAATTGAGTGAATTGAGCATTATTCTAATACCAGTTTTTAACTTTCAATGTTTAAAATTAGTGTTTTTCTTTTCAAATTACTGGTTCTAGGATACAAATTAGGAAAGATATATTCTCATTCATAAATTTTCCTGTAAGCACTCCACTCATCAGTACCAAGAGTAGGCCAGCCAAAATAGTCACAGCAAGCCTCTTACACAAATTCTTCCAGAGAACAATAAAAGAAGAAATGTGCATTAACTTGTTTTTATGAGACCAGTATAATCCTGATGTCAAAAACTGACAGGGGCATTAGCAAAAGGAAAACTCTAAGGCAATCTTACTCAAGGATCTAGATAGAAAAATCCTAAGCAAAATATGAGCAAACCAAATCCAGCAATATATACAGAGGATAGTTTGAGAGATCCAAGGATTAATATTTTTAAAAAAATCAATGTAATTCACCATAACTTTAACTTTAATTTAAATAAATTTAAAAAACATATAATTGTCCAATTATAGCATACAAAGAAAAAACATTTCCCACATAAAATCCACATCCACTCAAAACAATAATTTTTGGCAAACAAGGAAAAGAAGGGGATTTCCTTCATCTAGTAAGTGATATATACAAAAAGCTTTTAGGAAGCGTCACATGCTTAGTGGAGAAACATTGAAAGCATTGCCTCAGGGACTGGGAGCAAGGCAAGGCTGCCTGCTATCTCCACTACTGCACAGTGTTGTAGTGGGGTTCCAACCAGTGCACTAAGACAAGAAAAAGAAATAAGAGATTTTCTAGAAAGGGAGAAATAAAACTGTCATTATTCAAATAATAATAATATTATAAATTTATGAAGTCTAAAAGATTATTCAGAAATATTAGAATTAAAAGGTGAGTTGAGAAAGTTTGCTGCACACAAAATCAATATACAAAAATCAACTGTAAGGCCGGGCGCTGTGGCTCACGCCTGTAATCCTAGCTCTTGGGAGGCCGAGGCGGGCGGATTGCTCAAGGTCAGGAGTTCAAAACCAGCCTGAGCAAGAGCGAGACCCCGTCTCTACTATAAACAGAAAGAAATTAATTGGCCAACTGATATATATATATAAAAAATTAGCCGGGCATGGTGGCACATGCCTGTAGTCCCAGCTACTCGGGAGGCTGAGGCAGAAGGATCGCTCGAGCCCAGGAGTTTGAGGTTGCTGTGAGCTAGGCTGACGCCACGGCACTCACTCTAGCCTGGACAACAAAGTGAGACTCTGTCTCAAAAAAAAAAAAATAAAAAAAAATAAAAGTTTTGTAAAACAACAAAATTTTTAGAAGGCATCATAGGAGAATATCTTCATGGCCTTGGTGTGGTGAAAGTTTCCTAATTAGGACACAAAAAGTACTAATCATAAATGAAAAGACTGATCAATTGAGAACTTCTGTTTCTCAAAAAACACCTTTATGAGAGTGAAAAGGCAAAAATTAACTGACAAGGGGCTTGTATGTGGTGTATGTGCAGAGCTCATAAGAGCAAGAAAAAGCCAGGCAAACCAAAAGAACAATAGGCAGAGACTTGATGAGGCCCTTCACAAAAGAGAATAATACCTAGAGGGCCAATTAATACTTGAAAAAGTACTCAACCCCATTAGTTATCAGTGAAATGTAAATTAAAGGAGATACCACTACATACCTGCCAGAGTGGTTAAAAGAAAAACGACTAACACAAGTGTTGGTAAGATGTGGAACAATGGAAACTCTCTGTTGACAGGAGTGAAACTTGGCCCAACTACTTTGGAAAACATTGGCATTACCTGTTAAATGTGAGTAACAGGCAGAGCCTGTGAACCAGCAATTCCACTCCTCGGTGTGTGCCCAACAGAAATGAGTGCACATGTGAACAAAGGGACATGCACAGGAATGTCACTGAAACATTAACCCTATTGCCACAAACTGGAAATAACCCAACTACCTATCAACTGTAGAGCAGATAAATAAAATTCACTGAGCTATGGACTTAAACATTGGGTGCACTTTCCATGTTTCAATTTAAAAGTTTTAAAAAAATTCATTGGTGAAAAAAAAACCATATATTTTAAACACCATCACTTTCCCATTGGAGAATGCAGTCAGGGCTGGCCTCACTCAGCTCAGGCTTTGGAACATGTCTCACCTGAGCCCGGAGGACGCTCATGGTTTCCAGGTCTTCCTCCTGCCTGGCGATGGTCTGCTTCATCTCGTCCATCTGAAGCTGCTTCGAAGCCAGGGCCTTCTCTGCCAGTTCTAGTTTTTCATGCAGTTCCAGCAGCACTGCCTTATCTACTTTCTCTGACTGAAAAACACACGTTTATTCTAGAAATGGTTTTGAAATAATTCACCCTATTTTAGTAAAGTACTAGATAAAGGTTTATTTTTTTAAAAAAAATTATCGGCTCTAAACTAGTCTGTTAATTAGCAAGGCTAACGTATCAGAAAGTTGTACTGATTTAACTTATGTCTTGCAAATAATAATTTCCTAATGTAAAACAATAATTTTTAAAAAAGATAACACTAAAATCAGGAAAATAATAACAAACTCCAACTTGAAGAGGTTGTGACTCACTGATACTATTGTTTTTCTACAAGTTACTTTTACTTTGTGAAGTCAATGGAAAAGAAGAAATATGTTTAAATTTTAAAATCTATTAGGTCCAAGAGAGGAAAACTATTCTATTAAAAAGTAAACAGAAAACAAAGAATATATTTATAAGAATAACAATTCAAAGACCTCTGCTAATTCAAAGCTGTCATCTACAGTGAGAATCTACAGTGAGAATCTGTAGATAATCACACCATGCTGGGCATTATTACTCATTTATATAGCACGTGGATCTACAGTGAGAATCTGTAGATAATCACACCATGTCAGGCATTATTACTAATTTAAATTGCACATGGGGGGGGACTGACAGCAGGCAAGCTAGCTGTAGCCGTGTGCAATTCCACGCAGTAGATATCCCTTCCAGTCCACAGGAGCCCATGCTCTTAGCTTTCCTACAAACTTACTCTTAAAAATATTAAAAAATACTAAAAGTTTACTCCCTGACTGTAGGATATTAGTGCCATCTTCTTACACAACAAAGGACCTTATACATATGTGCAACATCAGAAGTTATAAATGCTTAGACCCTAGAAATAATAATAAACTTGAAAACCTTTGAAACTAGACTTAGTTAAGGAATAATGCAACTATTTTATATATAAAATGTTCCAGTTTCCATTCACTTCTAGGCTGTGGACATAATTTTTTTTCTGTCTTTACCTCTTTCCTTGTTAGTTCCTCAATTGTTTTCAATGCCTTATTATATTCTTGAAGAAGCTTGCTGTGTGTCACCTGTAGAATGGCCAATTTGGACCTATTAAAAAAGATATTGAAAAGTGGAATCTTGGAGGAAAATATCATAGAAAATTACAGTCTTATCTCCCAGCCTTCTTCTGAACACTCAAGTAGCAAAATCTCCTCACCTACCTTTATTATCCCACCACTGACTAGCATTTCTTACTCTCAAAGAAAATAATCTTTTCTAAAGAATCAAGACAGAATGTAAATATAATTTGCATAATTTTGTTATAATAAAACTTCTACATTCTATCCCCTATAAAAAGTATCCTAGTACTCCCTCAAATAAGTAAAGAAGAAATTTTATAAATTTATTCTCAAATCCTAATTTCAATCTGTATAAAAGCTAGCCTATCTCCTCTGGCAAGTTGCCCTTCTATCACAGCACACTCACTTTTCATCTTCTGTTTTAGTTTGCTCCATTTTGATTTCTGATCGCATGCTTTCCACTTGTAGCTCCAGCTTTTTATTAGTATAAACAAGCTCTTGCTTTTCATTCAGCTCTGATGGGGTTGCAGAATTTTTCCTTTCAAGGACCTGACACCTAAGAAAGATCAAGAGTTCATGTGGATAAACAATGCTCCTTCATGTCTTGTCTCAGTGGCCTTTAAACAAATCCCAAGATTATGTAAAATACAAAGAATTTTAGGGTTGTTAAGATTTATGAATGCAGAATAAAACATTTCATTCTCCTTGCTTCTTTACTAGATACAGACATATTTCTGAAACCTTATGCCCAAACATAAAAAGTGCAGATCTAAGATCACATGAGATACTGTCCCATTTGAATACTTGTTTCAAGTAGTCATACAAATACATTTTTGTTGCTTAAACACAGATCAAACTAGTAATTGGCTAACGGTCCTTCTCATATAGTGAACTATCTTTTGTATTTAAAAAATTTATGAGTTCTGTCAATCACAAAGACTTCAACTTCTGAAAAAGATTCAATAAAGGAAAAAGGAAGTCCCTTTAAGTACTCTTGAAGACCAGAAAGAGAATTTCAATGTAATAATAGCAAATACAAATAAATGACAGATGCGTATAAGGCATTAGGTTATGCCAAGCCTAATAGACATCTTATTAAATATGACATATATAATAGAAATTATGACACAATTTACAAATGACAAAACTGAGGCTAAGAGGTTAAATAACTTGCCCAAGGTAATACCACAGATATGATGCAGACTCATATTTCAAATCTAGGTCTGTTTGGACAAAGTCCTTAGCTGTAGCTGCTATGCTATATCAGATTATTATAATATTGTAGAGCTGTGGTCCCCAATCCCTGGGCCACAGATTGGTACTGGTCCATGGCCTGTTAAAAACTGGGTTGCCCAGCAGGAGGTGAATGGTGGGTGAGGGAGCAAAGCTTCCTCTGTATTTACAGCCACTCCATATTACTTACATTACCACCTGAGCTCCACCTCCTCTCAGATCAGTGGCAGCATTAGATTCTGCATTATGGCAAGCTGTATAATTATTTCATTATATGTTACAATGTAATAATAATAGAAATAAAATATACAATAAATGCAACACACTTGAATCATCCCTATACCACCCCTCCAACCCCAGCAAGTCTGTGAAAAATTGTCTTCCATGAAACCAGTTACTGGTGCCAAAAAGGTTGGAGACTGCTGCTGTAGAGTGTTAGGAATCATAACCTCAAGAAAATATACACCTATATATTGTGCTAAAAACAGGTTTGCCAACCAATCCAACAAAACAACATCAACTTAGTTTTGGGTAACTTCTTATATCAACAGAAAAAAAGCAATGCAGAATTCTCAATCTATATACTAGCCTTAATAACTGATTAAAAATGATTGAAGTACTTGATTGAAATTGATTTTTTTTCTAAATAAACCTCACTCAAGTTCGTTATACTCTTTTCAGCTTTATGTATGTTTGTATCAATAGTGTCAGTTTAAGATAGTCACTGGAAATCTGGCCCACAGCTTTGCACAGGTCCCACCTAGGCTTGTACACTTAACACTCTCCCCTAAATGGCAGAACCAAAGCCCCATCTCCATGCCTCCATGTTACAAGTATTTCACACTCACACAGTAACCTGGACAGTAGTGTTTTCTGAATTCACACTTTAATTAGGTCTCTATTTTTCTGTTAGTAACATAGTAACAAGACTATTTTTTTTGTAGTAACATTTTAATACTTTGTAAAAAATGTTTATTTTTAACAGGAGGATAAACCTTATCATTCTTACTTTTCTTGAAGTCTCTTCTTCATTAGCTCAGCTTCACTGAGTTTTGTATGAGCTTCTTGAAGCTCCTTAAACAGGGATGTCACCTGAAGGTTCAATATTTCCACTTCACTTCCAACCTGTCATACAGGACATCCCAAACATGAGACATTAAATAAACCTTTTTGTGAGAAAACAGTCTGAACCTTTACTATCCAATTAAGACTGACTGGTGAATTGACCCAAATATCTTGTATAAAAAGAAATTTTTTGAATACAACTCTGTTTCCCAGTAAAGCATGAACTAATCAATTTGGATGCACTCTTAATAATGACTTTATCACATTAAGATTAACCCTACTTGCGGTTTAGGAGATCATAGATCATAGAGGTGTCAAAGCATAATCCCATTTATCTAGCTAACAATTCTCCCCCATTTTCCTTTGCCAATTTATATTTCTGGTTTACTCAATTATTTTTGTTGGACAGCCTCTTTTCTAACAGCTCTATAATTTTTGTAAATGAGTTTTGTGATGCCTTGAAAGTCTCAATACTTTCCTACTACTACTTGTCAAATTACTTTTAGTCAGCAGAGTACTATTACTCATTGGTGGTCTCTTCATCTCAGTTTTCTAAATATTCTCTGTTCTCTCAATAGTAGGGGACTCCGTCCCCTATGTGGCATACAGTAGACATTCAATATATATATGTATTTGTGGAATAAATGAATTAGAGTATTTTATGCAAATGCCTTTTACATGGGCTGCTGTGGCTATCATAACTTCGTGGCTTCATTAACTTCCCCTAAGCTCAAGACTCTCATCAAGCTCAAATGTACAACTCTAAGTTACTAGATAACACTGAACTTATAAATTATATATATTTTGTATATGTGTGTGAGAGAATCTTTTTCATTCAAACTACTTTACTCAAACCAGTAGTGGGATTGAACCAAGATCTTTCAATTCTAACTCGAGTTTCTGAGTCATATCCTCAAATGATCTCATTTTAAAGTGAGCAAAATTCCTTTTTCATTTAGCAGACTTGTTCAGTTAGGGAGTTAGGAGGAGAAATCCATCAAGAAGAAATATAAGAGTGGATAGGAATACATCTCACTATACTAGACACTGAATGAAATCCAAACCAGGACAAAGAAATATAAAAAATAATATATAAACATCAATATTATTTCTGTATTTCTAAAGCAAATAACACATCACAAAACTTGAATCCAGCTGCTGAACCACTCTTAGGTATATGGGGGTGACACGGTCTTGGAATCTTAGTACCCACAGTTTCTGGGCTTTTCTTCTCTTCATTCTCTTCTTCTATACTCCCCTCTGTCTGGGTTCCAATCTGAGAATGATCATTTGCTTTCTTTTCAAAGTCTGAAACTCTGAAAAATTACAAAATGCAGAAAAGTTACTTTCTCTTTGGCTTCAAGGGGAATAGCAATTGCAGAAGCACTAAAAAAGAACATTGTTCAAAATTTGGATAAAAGATCAGAGGTTTTCAAAATCTCTTCATATTCACTATATTAGCACTGGTTTTGTTTTGCATCCTAAAACTGCCTAGAATTGATATGAGAGATGAATACACACAGAGGTAAAAGACAGGTATAACTAACTTTTTTTTTTTTTTGAGACACAGTCTCACTTTGTTGCCCAGGCTAGAGTGAGTGCCGTGGTGTCAGCCTAGCTCACAGCAACCTCAAACTCCTAGGCTCAAGCAATCCTACTGCCTCAGCCTCTAGAGTAGCTGGGACTACAGGCACGCACCACCATGCCCAGCTAATTTTTTCTATATATATTAGCTGGCTAATTAATTTCTTTCTATTTATAGTTAGAGACGGGGTCTTGCTCTTGCTCAGGCTGGTTTCAAGCTCCTGACCTCGAGCAATCCTCCTGCCTCGGACTCCCAGAGTGGTAGGATTACAGGTGTGAGCCACTGTGCCCGGCCTAGGTATAACTAACTTGAACACTGCCTGTTTTCATGTAACTGTACTATCCAGAAATCTTTTAAAAATGGTTTTAGTATCTATATCCATGTGGATGTGTATGTTCTGTCAGTGTGTTGTGTCCCATTTACAAGAATACACAGAGAGAGAGGAAGACTGTTTTTTTAGGACTCATCTAAGTTTGTAAGTCCCTGAACAAACAGACAAATGTGGCACTATTCTTACACCAAATCCCAATCACAGGCAAGCCATTCCAGTACAAATGATACAAACAGAGACTGTGGCTAAAGATGGTAGGTTGAATATATGTATACAATTTTTCTCCCACCCCAAACCCTACTAAAATTACTTTCAAAAAGCCACATGCCTACAGAACAAAGAGAAAGGGAAAGGAAATAATAGCAGGAAAATGTGGGGAGCACAGGTATGAGTGGGGACTGGCTGTGGAGCCCAAGAAGGATCCTAAGTCAACAATAAGGAGGGCCAGAAATGACCTGACTCACACTGTGGAAATACAGGAGCTCAGGAATTGGTGACACCAGGTACCTATGGAAGTGGTGATAAGGTGGGGCCTGTTTAAGAAGGACAAGAAGGTGGTAAAATAAAGGCACTCTGGACCCAGATGTAAAGCAGAGTTGAGGGCCTGGGTTATCTGCTTTAAAAGAGAGAAATTTAATTATAGACTACTGAGACCTTCAGCCTTCTTTTCCTCATCTCAAGAAACCTGACATCTAAAAAAGTCAGAAGGCTGGAAGTCTTCTCTGGAGAATCTGACCAGGACAAGGGAAAAGATGAAAAGTTTCAGACATGAGGCTTCCCCAGCAAACCCTCCCAGCTGGATCTCCCTACACCTTGCTAGGTGTACAGCTTTTCAAATTAGAGCTACTGAGCTAGGCCTGCCTTTGACATGGAAGTCTCATGTCCCAACCAGCTTTCTCTCAGTATTTAACAAAAGTCACCAATTAGTTGCTAGGAGCAATGTTTTCTCTACATGGGCATCAGGATGATGATTTCCTCCTACCTAAAATAGGACTGAAACCAAGAAACAAAATCACTGATACATGAACAACCTGTCTTGATGTATATACTATATAGGATATGATAAAAACACATTGTAAGACTTAGCATGTCTTTTTCTCAAGTTGGTCTTCAACTATTTTCATTAATCATGGGAAATAGGGGTATAGATGTTCTAAATTTTATTCTGAATAATTGGAATGATTTATAGGAAAAGGGAACAATAAGGTACAGAAATTTTACCCAAAACCCAGTCTAAATGATTTTGCTTGTGGTAGCATTATGGTACAGCTGTACCAATATAAAAAGGTCTACCAGCTATTTAAAAAGGTGTATGTATATAAAAGAGGTGGCACGTCTCAACTCATTCTATGAGGCTAGTATTACCAGGTTACAAAAACTAGACAGATATCATAAGAAAAGAAAACCATAGATGTAAAAATCCTCATCAAAATAATAGCAAACCAAATCTAGCAACATATAAAAAGGATTATATACCATGACCAAGCAGGATTTATCCCAGAAATGCAAGGTTGGTTTAACATCTAGAAATCCATTAATGTGACATACTATATTATCCCAACCCCATGGGATTATCTCCATGGACACAGAAAAAGCATTTGAAAAAATCCAAAATCCTCTCATAATAAAAATGGTAAATTAAGAATAGAAGGGAGCCTCTTGGTCTGATAAATGCATCTATATAAAACCTACAGCTAACATCGTACTTAATGGTGAAAGACTAAAAGCTTTCCCCATAAGATTAAGAACAAGATAAGGACATCTGCTCTCTCCATTTCTATTTAACACTGTATTAGAGTTCTAGCCAAGGCAGAACTGGTAGACCTTTTTATGTTGGTATAGCTATAGCATAATGCTATCACAAGCAAAATAAGTAAAAGGCATTAAGTTTGGAAAGGAAGAAGCAAAACTATCTCTATGTGCAGATGACACAGTCTTGTATACAGAAAATCCTAAGAAATCTACTAAAAAATTATTGGCACTTAATAAATGACTTCAGCAAAGTTGCAAGATTCAAGATCAATATAAAAAATCAGCAATTGTATCAACAGTTCCATTTATGATAGCATAAAAAAGACTAGAATACTTAGGAATTCAACATAAAAAGTCCTGGACTTGTGCACTGAAAACTACAAAACATCACTGAAATAAATTAAAGACAGATAAATAAAATGATATCCCATACCAGGGATATTGTTATGTACCAGGATGTTGTTATGATGGCAATACTCCCCAAGTTGATTTCCAGATTCAAGGCAATCTCTAACAAGATCCCAGCTGGCTTTTATTCAGAAATTAACAAGCTGATTCTAAAGTTCATATGAAACAGCAAGGAACCCAGAATAGCCAAGACAGTCTTTAAAAAGAAGAACAAAGTTGGAAGGCTCTCACACTTCCTGATTTTAAAACTTACCACAAAGCCATAGAAATCAACATGGTGTGGTACTGGCCTAAGTTCCACATAGATCAATGGAATAGAATTGACAGTCTGATAAAGTTGGCCTTCTATATCATACCACAAAAATCAGCTAAAAATGAACCACAGACTTAAATGTAAGAACTAAAATTATAAAAATTCTTAAGAAAAAACATAGGAGTGAATCTTTGTAACCTTGGGTTAGGCAGTGGTTTCTTAGATATGATACCAAAAGCATAGGTGACCAAAGAAAAATGAGATAAATTGTATTATATCAAAATGAAAGGCCAGGCATAGTGGCTCATGTGTGTAATCCCAGCACTTTGGGATTACAAAAGGCTGAGATGGGAGGATCATTTGAGGCCAGGAGTTCAAGACCAGCCTGAGCAACATAAAGAGACCTGTCTCTATAAAAATAAAAAAAATTAGCCAGGCATGATGGTACGCAGCTATAGTCCTAGCTACTAGAAAGGCTGAGCCAGGAGGTCTCTTGATCCTGGGAGTTGGAGGTGGCAGTAGCTATGATCACTCCACTGCACTCCAGTCTGTGCAAGAGAGTGAAATCCTGTCTCAAAAAAAAAAATTAAAAAATTTTTAAAAAATTGTGCTGCAAATGATACCATCAAGACAGTGAAAATACAATCCACAGAATGGGAGAAAATAGTTATAGATCATTTAATAAGGAACTTACATCCAGAATATGAAATGAACTCTTATAATTCAATAATAAGAAAACTTGATTTTTTTAAGTGGGTAAAGGATTTGAATAGACATTTCTCCAAAGAAGATATACAAATGGTTAACATGAAAGGATACTCAACGTCATCAGTCACTAGGGAAATACAAATCAAAACTACAATGAGATACCAATTCACATCCACTAGGATGGCTAAAATCCAAAAGACAATAAAAACAACTGTTGGTATGGATATGGAGAAAGTGCGATACATAAACATTGCTGGTGGGAAGGCAAACTGGTGCAGCTAGTTCCTCAAAATAGTAAACATAAAGTTACCATATGCCTTAGCAATTCCACCCATAGCTATAACCCCAGAGAAGTAAAAAAAAATATGTCCAAACAAAAACTTGTACAAAATGTGCATAGCAGCATTATTCCTAATAGGCAAAAAGTGGCAAGGACGCAAATGTTTACCAACTGATGAATGGATAAACAATGCTGTATATCCAGACAATGGATTATTGCCAAATGACAATAGAAAGGAATGTAGTACTGACACAAGCTACACTGTAGATGAACCTCAAAAACATTATGCTAAGTCAAAGAAGCCTGCCACAAAAGAACACATATTATATAACACCATTTATATGAAATATGCAGAATGGGCAATTGATACATAAAGTACATTACCAGGAGGAGGGGGTGGTGAGTGTTATGGATGTTGGGTTTCTTATCTGGGGGAATGATGTTCTAAAATTATATTGCAGTATTCATGGTTGTGAATATTCACAACACTGTGAATATTCTAAAGACCACTGAAACATACACTTCAAATAGGTGAATTGTATGAGATCTTAATTATATTTCAGTAAAGCTATTTTTAAAGAAAACCCCAAAGAATGCATATTTCAAGTTAATCTATTTTGTACCTTTCTTGGGCTTCCTTGAGTGCAAGTTGAAGTCTCTCCACCTTCTGGTTTCCTTCCCTTAGGCAAAGCAGGAGCTGGCTCACAGTTAACTCCTCAGATTCCAAATAATTCTTGGCACCTTCTATAGATCTGTTCCTACATTAAGACAATGCCATTTTCATAAAGGTTAAAATGTTTTCATCAGAAAATAAAAATATCAAAGCCTAAAAACAGAGTAGCCCAATATAACTAAAACCAACTTACAGGAAATGCTTTTTAGAGCATTCTCCAATTAATTTTCATCCACTGACCAAGCACAGCTAGACCTGGGATCCTCAGTGCCTAGGTCCCTCGCGTTTTATAGGGAAAGCATGGAGGCTCACAGTAGGGCCCCAGAAAGGCTGGCCTTACACTGCTCATACTCATTTCCTCCAAATGGTCTCCGTACACACACCAGTGGTCCCCAACCTTTTCGGTGCCAGGGACCAGTTTCATGGAAGACAGCTTTTCCACAGACTTGGGGGTAGGGTAAGGGGAGCTCAGGTGGTGATGTGAGCGATGGGGAGGGGCTGTAAATACAGACAAGGCTTGGCTCGCTCACCCACCACTTACCTCCTGCTGTGTGGCCCAGTTCCTAACAGGCCATGGACTGGTACCAGTCCACAGACTGGGGGTTGGGGACCACAGCTGTACACGACACCATAGGAACAGTTCACCAGAGGCAGCCCTGGTTGGTGGTGCCAGGCTTTCCAGAGATCTAGTCTCAAAGAGGACTGGCCTGTCTCAACTTCACAGAAACCATCACAGTCTCAAGTCAAGAGAAGAAAACCTTTCTCATTTCTGCTTTCAAATAATAGAGCAGAGAAATACAGGCACTGGTGGTATGTCAGATATCTTTCTTGATGTCTGATTAAATCAAGAGCCATTTCAGTGACAAACAAAACCATGACCACCCCCACTACAGTAACAACATATTAAGGATAGCTATGACGATGGCAACAGCAGCCACTCTTTCAGTAATTTACTGAAGTTCTCATGTCTAATAAATAGCCAGGGTTAGATCCTGGTTACCAGAACTCCAGAGCTTGACCTCCAAACCTAGAGATCAATCCAGACTCCTTACCGTACGCATAAACAGGGTACAGACATGTTATTAATATTATTTAAAAAGTTAATTTTTTTTAAAGTGTGGCTTCAAAGAGGAAGTGGTCTTTGGATATGGATGTGAATGAAGAGGAAGTGGCTTGAAGGCTTTCTCCCTTCCCATTACTTCCAGGAAAGTCTTTTGATACTAAAAAAAGCAATTTGGAAAAAAACTGAGATTCTCAACTAAGAAAAAGAATAACTTTCACTTATGCCAACTGCCCGGTTTGATGAAAGAATCCTATCTAATACTTATTTTCTTCCTTATACAAGGGCTTAGGAACATAATTGAAGCAATTTTCTTCACATTTTATGTGATTCTCTGTTTACATTCATCATGTTATAGAGAAAAGTTTTTAAAAGTCTGAGGGAGGCCGGGCATGGGGGCTCACACTTGTAATCCTAGCACTCTGGGAGGCCGAGGCAGGTGGATCCCTCAAGGTCAGGAGTTCAAAACCAGCCTGAGCAAGAGGGAGACCCCATCTCTACTAAAAATAGAAAGAAATTAATTGGGAGGCTGAGGCAGAAGGATTGTTTGAGCCCAGGAGTTTGAGGTTGCTGTGAGCTAGGCTGACACCACAGCACTCAAGCCCAGTCAACAGAGGGAGACTCTGTCTCAAAAAACAAACAAACAAACAAACAAAAAAGTCTATGGGGGAAGAGATCCTAAGTGAACTTTCCAGATAACTGTCTCTTAAATGGACTAATACAGTAGTAACCAGCTTACAGAGGACAAGCTAGCAGCCTCCCTGGGGTGAGCACTGCCTGCAAGACTCGAGAGGTTCAAGCACCCCATTTTGTTACTACCACAAAGGTCCTCCCACGATCTCAGATGTCTGTTTCCTAACATCCACCTGGGACAGGTAAACTTGAGACCCCACAGATAATATACCTGGGCACTTTCAAGCACCACCCACGTAGATTGAGAGTACTACTGGTCATGTTACAAAAGATGATCCAGTGCTGGCCACCCTGGCTCGAAACTGGGAAGGAAGAGGGGAGAGAAAACAGTAACATCTCACTTATGGCTCCTGGGCAGCCTGGTGCAGGGGAAGCTGCCCTGGGGAATAAATGAACAAACACAGCTCTGGATGAAGAACAAATAGCTGATTTGATTGAGAACCAGTTTGTTTTTCCTTCTCATCTGCTGGAAGTGAGACACCTCTATGACAGATTGGTCAGTGTGAGTTAGCCAGATAGGCACCAAACACTGTTTCTCATCTCTGCAAGTTTAGGCTGCAACATTAAATAACATCCAAACAGAATATTCTTTTTTTTTTGAGACAGAGTCTCACTTTGTTGCCCAGGCTAGAGTGAGTGCCGTGGCATCAGCCTAGCTCACAGCAACCTCAAACTCCTGGGCTCAAGCAATCCTCCTGCCTCAGCCTCCTGAGTGGCTGGGACTACAGGCATGTGCCACCATGCCCGGCTAATTTTTTCTATATATTTTTAGTTGGCCAATTAATTTCTTTCTATTTATAGTAGAGACAGGGTCTCACTCTTGCTCAGGCTGGTTTCGAACTCCTGACCTCGAGCAGTCTGCCCGCCTCTGCCTCCCAGAGTGCTAGGATTACAGGCGTGAGCCACCGCGCCCGGCCCAAACTGAATATTCTTGAAAGGTCCTGGTATAAATTAATAAGTTACTTTTTCAGCCTGTTATGTTTGACCCCCAGGATAAGCTCAAAGTGACAAGGCTGCCCAGTCTGCCTGCCTGCCAGTCTCTTGTCTTCCTTCACGTACGTGTCAATGGTGTGCGTTCTCGTGGACCCAAGGCTATTCTTGGTTTCTTTTACTGACCCTTCTGTTTCTCCTTCCTGTAAAAGCAGAAATGAAAGGTATTTAACACAGTATGTCTGCAAGACAAATTCTTTGTTAAAAAAAAAAAACACAAAAAGACCAAAGATTAAGAATTTTGATGATATGCAACCCAAGGAACCTACCATGCATTTAAATGTGAAATGTTTAAATTGGGTTGCTCAAATGGGATGGGAATGTACTCTTCCCTTGCCCCGTACACACTGTCAGGATTATAAATATCTAGGCTAAGGCATGAAGGTCAGACTCCTCTCCCTGAACACTTTCAACCTGACTCCATAAAGGCTTATCTCCTCCTCCCTCTCCCTGGCAGTTCCTTCTTTCTCAAGGTTAAGGCTATGCAGAGCTAGTGACAACTCCATATACCTTTCTTGCAAAGTCCTTTAAAATGTAAGATGCTAGAACTTGCTGAGGCAAAGTTGAAAAAGAGGCAGTTTTCTATGGACAAGACTCAAAAACACTGTCTTTGCTGAGGCAGCTCCCATTAGAAATCTGTATGCACCACAGGCCATTTAAGGAACAAGACTAAAGCTAAGACTTACGGGATTGAAAGGCATTTATATTCCAATAGCTCATGGGAAAAATCTTCAAAAGTACACAGAGATGGTTCTAGATATTATTTTTCTGCTTGGGGCCAATGGAGGTTCTAGATATTTTTTGATACACTCTTCCTAAATCTTGGGCAATATTTTCCAGTTCACAGAAGCAAAACAAGAAAAAGATGTTTACACTAAAAATAACTATCACTCTTCTGTGAGGGAGAATCTAATACTAACCAGGCACCCTGAAAGAAGTGGCCTCATTTGGAAACTTGTGATACGCTGTTTGGGTTTCCTGAATTTTATCAGTTATTTGCAGGCTAAAGTTCTCCGATTAGACTTCTGTTTTAGTTATCTTCAGCCACTTGCAAAAAGGGTACTCTAGCAAAATGTGCTTTTCAGTTGGTATTTTAACTCTCTTGATTTTGGCCATTATGAATACATCTAAAATGTCTAAGGGAGTATGGATGGCATTTGCAACTCTATTGATCTTTAGTGCAGCAAATGAACCCAGAAAGTAAAGAAAGGCACACACTAATATTTCAGATATATCCAGTAGTTTAGCTTTCTTGTAAGTTGCTCCTTACTCCTCCTGCCTTATCTACAAAGTACATTTTTCTCTTTCAAGACACTATTAATGTCTTTTCCTGTATCAATCAGATGGGTACTTTGACTAAGCCAAAATGGCAATCTGTATCACAAAGGATTTTATCCTGGTGTGTTTTTCTCCTCCTCTCCCCAATCTTTGTTAGCAGCATTGATGGAGAGGCCCCTGCATGGGTGTCTACTTGCTATGCTCTTTAACTGGACTGTCCCTACACCCCAGTATAGGTGTGATGGTTGTAACAGGTGCTACTAACAGGTGCTGCACAAGAGCTTAGGGATCAGCACACGCCCCCTCACTGAGCTCCCTTCGTTTTGGGCTGCACAGACATCTGAGTTTGATGGTATTGGCTTCAAACTCAGCTCTCAGAGGTTCCTGAGCTGTTGCTGTTAAAAGGGAAAAGCCAAGACACCCTCTCAACCAGAGCAGCCTGGCTCTCTTTTCTCCTCTTCCTATTTGTAATATGCCATGGTTCCTCATAAGACTGTTTGAAAAGAGGGTTCTACTATTAAAAACGGTTTAAAAGCCATTTGTTTACTGCTTTTAATCACATTTCTGCTCACTAAGTGAACTGCTAAACACAGTTCACTTAGTTGAGACCTGGTCTGAAAAATGACAGAATGTTCATGGTTATGTTGTGTTTTTTTTTTTAGGTCACAAAAATGTCCTATTTATCAGGACATATTGGAAAGGGGAAAAAAAAAAAAAAGACTACACCTTTTGCCATAAAAGGTAATTAATATTTTTCCATTTCCTCCATGACAACCCTTACAAGCATTATGTTATACTTAAAAAATGAGAGCCAGTTTATCTTTACTACACTGAAATTTCCTCATTATTTAGTTTCCCTGTGTTGACTAGAAAAAGTGATATTTGTTTCTTCTGTGCAGGTGAGGCTTTGTAGGTTGCTTAAAACAAAAACAGAAACCTTACAGCCATCCTAATTTCAACAAAGGAGTCTTCTCCAGGGCCGCTGGCGTTCAGCTTGAGCTGCAGTTCAGACACAATGCCCAGCAGGTCTGCCTTCTCGGCCTGAAGGCGTGCCACCTGCATCTTCAGCTGCTCCATCTCTGGCTCTCCTTCGGCCTTGGGAAGCCTGGAGTCACCAGTGGGGTCCTGGAAATGACAGGGAGTAAAGCAAATTAACAAGTCAAACCTGGGACCCAGCCACCTCCACCCATGGACAAGATCAACATCTTTGTCCCAAACCTATGCCTTAAAGTAGAAAATTCCAGCTCTTACTTGACTATTTTGATATCGCATTTAAATTGGAAATTTTTACATTATTTTATTGTATTCAAATATTATGAATTTTAAAACAACTTCATGATAAGAAAGAAAAGGCTTCCTCAGCACACTGGACTAATCTGACATTATGAAAATAACCAAGCCAACTTTGGCAATGGTAGACTCATAAACCGTAGTTCAAAATTCCAGAAAGTAAGGGCAAAAAGCTGCCATCACCCAACCCCCTGCCTTTTTTGTTCCCCACAAATGCCCACCCAGGCCCACTCTTCTCCTACTTGTCATATCTACTTAGAAGCCAAAGCATCAATGATGTTAAATGGTCCCAAAACGGCAAAACACAAAGAAAGGTCCAAAGGGCTCCCAGTGTGGAGGCTGACAGCTAAAATATTCTATAGTGGTGTCTTAAGCTTGCTAAAAGTACATCTGGCAAGAAATAAAAAAATTTAAAATTCAGAAGCTGGTACCAAAGATTAAAAAAAATAAATTTCAGCCTATATAAACATTAATAATAAGCATTAATATTTCAGTAATGTCAAGAACGTGTTGTGTTCACCCTGTTACATTCACTGCATATGACAAAATCATAAGAGAATGACCCTGTTTAGATGCAGTGTTTTTACTTGTTTTTTATTTTCTTTTTTTTTCTTTTTGGTAGAGACAGGGGTCTCACTCTTGCTCAGTCTGGTCTCAAACTCTTGACCTCAGGCAATCCACTTGCCTCAACCTCCCAGAGTTCTAGGATTACAGGCATGAACCACCACACCCAGCTAGGTGTTTGCACTTGGGAGGAGGGAGAACAGAGCTGGGCCATGCTCTGCTTTTCACTGAGTGTGTCACTTGGAGTAGATTCCCTTCAGGTCCTGGGCTCAGTTCTCTTGGGTTAGGAAAAAAGATATGGCACCACAAGGTCTCCATGTTTTCTTTCAGTTGTCACCTGTTAAGCCTCCCGTTTCTTCCTCAGGAAACCTTTATTGCCCTTATGTGCCTGGTTCCCTTCCCAAACCAGAAATACATACACTTGGGATTGTCACAAAACTGCAACACATTAGAAAATTGAAATACACACCCCCCCATCTTAATAGTGTAGTGGAAAATAACAAATACCTTAAGATCAGCATTTTTTTTGTTGTTAGAGACAAGGTGCCATTCTGTCACCCAGGCTGCAGTGCAGTGGTGTGATCATAGCTCACTGCAACCTCAAACTCCTGGGCTCAAGAGATCCTACTGCCTCAGTTTCCCAAGTAGCTGAGACAAAAGGTACATGCCACCACCTGGCTAATTTTTTTTTTTTTTTTTTTTAATTTTTGGAGGAAGAGGTGTCTTGCTATGTTTGCCCAGACTGGTCTCAAACTCCTGGGCTCAAGCTATCTTTAAACCTTCGCCTCCCAAAGTGCTGGGATTACAAGCATGAGCCAACACACTCAGCCAAGACCAGCTTTTTAAAAAAAATCTTAATTACCTTTAGGAACTTACAGCATGATTAAATATCATCTAGAGATGCTACAAACAAGCAGTTTAAATGAGTGATCTCAAACTCAACGTGTTCTGAGTTTTTTCCCTTCCCTGCCCTCTTTGCCATTTCCTAAGGAATGGAAAACAGGCCCAAAGGATCATAGTAGAACCAAAACAGTAACAGAAAGATATGCAGATGGATCATAAACCAACTGGGTCATGAAATATTAAAAAAATGAAGGTACAGGCATTAACTTGCAACATGACATGTCCTTTATGCCACCGGGATTGTGCTCTTCCTTCACATGGAGTGGACCTGTCCCTTGATAGGAAACTTGCTACCACCTGCCTTAGAGAAAAGCAGCTCATTGTGAAACTGAAGAGTTGGGTCTGTGAGGGAAGGTTAAAAGTCCGCACAGTCTCTCTTAGTAATGACTCAAGCAAAAGAAACATAAATTTAAAGGAAGAAAAACAATAAAAGGGCAGGTACTGCTTAGCCTAGAACCAGGAAATAAGCACGAAGAGGCAAGACTACGCCTTACTAGGAATCTGCACGTTTACCCTCCTGACCTGTCTAAAGACATTTTATGGAATGATTTTTTCAAAACCACCTTCACATAAGGGTAGGCAATAGAGTTTTAACCAAGTGTCTGGGGACCCGTGATATAAGGCCACGACATTAGAATCTCAGATTATTAGGTTAATTTTCCTCTTCACACTTGTGAGGATCTCTTAATTATCCTTGGGAAATCATGAATCCACTTATCTGGCCATAAACGCATTGTACAATGACTCTTTAAATTTCCCTTCACTTTACTGCCTTACTTTCCATTCCTTTCCTGGACTATTCCCATGGTTCACCTCTTAGATCTCTACTCCAACTCTATTGTTTTTTACTGTCTTTCATCACTTCCTGGCACTTACCATTGGTCTTTGTGCAGCACAACTTCTCTGTCTTTTCATTTATTTGCATAATCTCTCTACCCATGGTCCTGAAAACATGCTCTGGTTAATATTCCACCTCAGACTCCCAGAAGGAAAGTCTTATCTAATGACCTTCTGCCTAGCAGTCTGTACAATCAAAAGTCAGAAAGTGTGCTCTAGGGATCAGTATAGTGCCTCATCCAGTGAAATCGGCCAGAACCACAAACAGCAGCCTCACCCTGAGGCTCAAGGGTAGACTGAAAAGGAGATCCCTACTCCCTTCCCTGGAGAGTTACGGGACACACTCGAGGCCCTGGTGGCCTAGTAGCATTCCCTGTGATACCCCTGTGGAAAACAGCAGCAAGGGTGGGTTGGCATGAGTGAGAAAGTCCGAGGCCCAAGAATTTAACCAAGTCAGGGAGAAGAGGGCTAAATGAAACATGTCTCCACGGGCCCATGAAACAGAAATTAAAGAAGAGGCAGGGAGGCAACAAGGCGGGCCTGGGGAATGGAGCCGGGTTTTAAAGAGCTGAGGGTTTTAAAGAGCTGAGGGTTTTAAAGAGCCATGAGCTTCTCCTCCCAGGCCCCCACCTCCTTTCTGAGTAGCTGTTTTTCAACGATCATCTGCTTAAAGCAGCTGTCCAGAGTCAGCTTCTGATCTCAACATTTTCCAATTCTGGGCCCTTCTAGGAAAACCTACAGGCAGATTGTCTCAGACAGACTGCTTGCGGAAGCTCCATTCTTGACTTCAATGTGACAGGCCCAGCAGGCTTGAAGCCACTGTCAGATCGTGTCCCCCTTGCTACATAGGGTAAGATATTTTCTTCCAGAGAGTAGAACATTATTCATATATCCCAGGTGATCATTTCTTCAGAAAATTTTGCCCTCAAAATATTTAGATAATGAGAGATTTTCCCCCAAAGAAGTAAATTAATGCTCTTTGAACTGAAAGACAAGTTGAAGGATCAGATGTGATAAATATCATGAACAATAAAACACTTCCAATATGAGTATAAATTTATTCAAGCAGGATCTTTTCATTGTTTCTTGAGCAAGATCATTGACATGAACTATAATATTTTTCTAAACAATTTTCATGCTTTGATCATGCTATATTATCCCCCTCTTTCCTATCATTTTCTTTCCATTTTATTTCTTTATTTCCATTCTTTAGCCAACTAAGAAATCAAAGATCAGCAAAGTTCTAGGTAGAGTCTCAAGAAAAATCACCAATATCTGGAATAAATCCTCTCTCAACCAGCCCAGTGCTCCATCCCTCAAAGGGTTGTTAAGTTCCAGTTTTGGAAGAAAACAGGCAGCAGATGTCCACCGAAACAAACAATCCTAGTGGGCCCTGCAGTGTCTGTGGGGGACTTCAAATGTATTCTGGTTTATTTTTTTTCACTAACATTTTTGACTTCTACTGTCGGGTATGAGGACATTTTCCAGGTTTTTTGGGTCAAGAAAAATGTGTTTAATTCCCTCTTCATCTGTGGCAACCCTGTTGTCTCCTACCACATGAAATTTGCAAAACCATTTTTTAAAAGGAAAATGTAAAGTGAATAATCTCTATTTTAGACTGAGAGAAAGGACAAGGTCAGTAAGTAAAAATTCTGAGTAACAGATTTTTAAAATGTGATTTTATATCAAAGACATAAACTAAGGACAATTGGATGGTTCCATCTATACCATCTATAATGAATCTAAAACACTGATTTATAACCTTAACATTCTTTTGACTACAATCAATATGGTCAAAGATTTACAAATTTCTTTCTCCCAACAGAGATGATACATGATCCTTAAAAGTACAACCAATCTTTTCAGCAAAAACACTTCTTCCGAGACTATGTAAAACACCAGTCCAGCCTGAACCACGAAAGGTTTTGATCTAGGAGTCTAGACAATGAAGATCTGATTCTACTGCAAATGGTAAGAAAATAAAATCACAATTGATTAGTCTGCTCACCTCAAATGACTTTTCTGATTTCCCTTTTAGTTTTCCAAGCTCTTCTTTTAATTTCTCATTTTCATGACTCAAGGCCACAAGACGTTCTTTGGCTTCTTTGCTCTGTGTCTCAAAAAACTGGCGTTCTTCCTTCTGTTTCTCTGTCCAGGCTGATAGCTCCTCAAATCGCCCTTTCATAGCTTGATTATTTAGCTTCATGGCTTCTGCACAAGGTTCAGAGTGAGGAGTAAGAGAATCACACGCCAGGAGAGTGGACTTAATTTGATGAACCAAGCCTCCCCCTGGGCCACTTTGCCACATGGCCCTGAATCTAAAGTTGCCACACTTGGCTTGGGCCCAGGGTTCAACAGGAAAAAGACTATAATAATGTGAGTGGTTTTAGCTTCCAGAAAGGACTAGTGGATCTAAAGTCATTTCTAGTCCTTAAAAATCCCAACACAATAAAATTGATTTGGGTACTGCCACTACAGCACAAATACCTATTAGTAACTAGGGAACTGAGGAAGTTCTTATCACTCCTACATGGGAACAGTGGTCCTGCCAAAAGCCATGGCTTGAGATATAAGAATGCTTTCTCTTAATAATGTGATTTTTAGGACTAACTCTGTAATCATAGTGGCCTTTCTTTCTTTTTCCTTTTAAATGGGCTAAATGTCATTATGCGATTTCCCTGAGATACACAGAATACTTTTTATTCTTACCTGTATTCAAAACTAAGGTAAATAGAAACAGTTTTAGCCTTGCCAAAAACTAAAACCTGTGCTCTCTCTCCCCAGGGAAACAGAGAAGGGCGCTCACCTACAAGCCTTATTACAACGGGATCATGTTTCGTGAAGGCCCAGGAGGATGAGCGCACAGGCCAGCTGCTGCTCACCTTTCAGCTGATGGTTCTCGGTCAGGAGCTCTTTCATCTGCCGCAGCAGCTCCTCTGGGGTGAACGTGTCCAGGTTTGGGTGAGCCAGACTGGGGGGTCCATTTCCTGTGGTTTCGTTGGGGCTGTCCCCTTTTTCAGTCAGGCAGCTGAGAGGTTGGTGGGACATGGCAGAAGTTCCTATGGAAAAGTCACTAACTGAAAATAGGACACCTTGCTGCAAGGGGTCCACTTGAGTCCCACAAATCCATTAGCAGTTGCTCATATTTACTCCAAAAATTGCCTTTCTCTCCAAATACTGTTTGAACATTTGTGATTCTTCACTTTAAACAAACAAAAGGGGTATATTCCAGCTCCAGGGAACTATGTGTGCATGTGCATTGCATGCATGGTGTATAAGGGAGTACAGATAGGAGCTGGGAAATGGGGGAGGAAGAGGGGTGTACAATGTCATGATGATCAGGATAATATTTGCAGACAAGGGCAAAGTGTCATTAACTAAATTTCCCATGCAAGTCTTTAAGTTCAAATATCCTTGCATGGTATGTGAATTATATGACAATAAAGCTGCCAAAATACTCCATATTTTATTTCCTGTATTTTTGGTTAAAAGGAAAGGGAGGATTAGCATTCTTTGAATGCCTAATATATGCTGAATCACACCAGACATGTCACTGTCTCTATTCTTCACTGAAGCTCAGCTAAGCAGCTACTTTACAGGGGAGGAAGTTGAGTTTGCAGAGGAGCACAGCTCATCCAAGTGACACTGGATGTGGCACATCAGGAATCAAGGAAGATTCCAAAACCTAACCTGTGATACAACAAAGGTACTACTGAATACTTAGGCTTTAATATTACAGTTTTCCGTGCATGCTGAAAAGACGAAGATATCTTTAGTTATTACATATTTTGAAAACATTTTTACACATACTGCTTTATTTTGTAGAGGGTCCAATGTGGACATATAAATATAAGATGGATGAGTGAATGCCAACTCCACTTCTGTGTTACCTGCCACCTGGGCAAACACAGATCCTTCCCACCACTGGCTACATGCTACAGGTACAAATGTAAAAATCTTCACACTTCATGAAAATGATTCTTTTCCCTCAAGAACTGATGTGGATAGACTATAAAGCAATACATAGTAAAGGTAACTCCTCTTCTAACACTGTGTATACCTGTGCACGCGCACACACACATACACACACATCCCTATTCTACAAAGCTAAAAAGTGGCTGATGTACAGAGAGATGCCTGAGAAACATATTACTTCCAAGAGGCTTACCCTTAGAAGACAATTTTCAACCCATCTATCCAACAAATAGGGAATTAAGCAACCACGCACGCTGTTCAACTGTGATTAAGCAGAAAGCCACTGACTCCACAAAAGCCTTGGGATGAAGAAGGAACTTGGAAGTGAGCATCCCGTTTCTAATGGAAACAAAGCACTGCTCCAGTTAGACCAATCAGCATCTCATGATTATAGAGCCTGTGTGATCCCTTTGTATCATAACATCTAAGTGTGTGCTTAGTATCCATCTATTAAAATGAAACCAAACACACAGAATGTAGGGTTGCTTCCCTGTGACAACAGGAGGCAGTACCTCAGGCTCCCTGGAGGTGCTCTGGAAGCCAAAGCCTGGAGACCTCCTTTAGGTCTCAGGAACTCATAGGTAACCAGAGACAGCACTACTGACCATACCCTGGGGCAGGACAAGCCTGCATAACTTCTTCCTAAAGCAGCTCGCATCAAGAAAAGCATTCTCATGAAATCCTGTAATGAGGATGATGGCGATTTTATAAAGTGAAAAGCACTGATAAAACACATTATTCAATTTGAACCTTTTATATCTGTTTCATATACCTGAATTTAGAAAAAAGGTACAATGCTAAAGTGTTCTTCACTTAGCATTAGTTGATTAGAAAAGAATGCTTTTTTCCCCCAAAAAAATGATTTGGGTAAACTGTCAGTTCCTAACTTTCCATAAAATTTTTACACAGAATCACCTTGGTACTAATATTTCATAAAAACAGGGTTTTACTAAGTAATGGTATTCCTACCTATTTTACAGAGGAATACTAAAATTCTAGGTAATAGATCTAAAAGATAATATCTTGGCAATATGAATCATTTAATTGTCAACATTAAATTTCCTCTGATATTCAGTGATGACACTACACTTTGCAAAGGCCATGGAAACATTTAACCAATTGTTATTTTTTAAAAAGTATCTAAGCAACCATCTAAAGAAGTATTTGGTTTCATCTTATTGTATGCACAAATTTCTCCTCCATGGCTTTTCCAAGATGGAAAGAGAAGGGAGAGGAAGTAGAAAAGAGAGACATGTTCCTTTGAAAATTGTCCAGATTTCTTTCTTCCTTCCTTTATACCTTTACCAAGCCCACAGATACAACCATAATAAAGTCAAAACTGGTTCTAGTTGTTAAATCAGTGTTTCTAACTTTCTCAGGCTGTCCAGATTTTATGAAGACACAAGGGAAAAAGCTGGGTAAGGAAGACAGAAGAAAAAACACTTGTACCAGATGTGTGGGCTTGGGCAGTCACCTGACTTCTTATGATTATTTATTGACTCATCTAGCAAATGATGATCTTGACAGTTGCTTTCAGCTCAGAAGCCCTGTGAAAAGTATTCTTAAATTTATAGTAAGAAAGATCACAGTCTAAACCATACCCTTCAACATACACACTCCCAGGACCCTCAGGGACATGCTAGCCACTCTCATGAATACATACATACACCTGTCCTAATCAGAGCAAATTCTCTGATAGCCAGTGTTGTTAGGAAAAATTATTTTGTAATTCAAATGTCATAGTAAATAAGAAGTTAGCATATATGGCAAACATAAGCATGTAAGTACTTGCAACCAAAATTTTACTAAAAGTAATTTAATTGATTTTGGATGATTCGAAGAGTACTTGATGATTTTTAGAATGTTCTGGGCCATCATTATGGGTTATTGCTACATGATAAACATGTGAAATACATATTGTTAGAATGACTGAGAAAGCATTATTCTCTAAGTTTTTAACATTACCTTGAGCTACTTTCAACTGTGCAAAGACAGAGACACATTATATATCCTCGCATACATCTATAAAGGTTAAAGAAACTGAAACTAAACCATTTATTCCAAGCTTCTATCTAATAACAGATTTCTCAAAATCAACTGTCCTAGATCTGAAGTGTGTCATTTCTAAGCAAAGGTGATGTTTAACAATGGAACCATGAATTAATTGAGCAAAGGATTTGTCAAGATTTCACCAATGAGGAAGACTGAGAACTACCTGGTAGGAGAAAAGTAAAAAGCAATTCTCCTAGATTTTATTCCTAGATCTGCTATCTGAATTCCTGAAAGTACATATTATTTTTTAATACCAGAGACCAAGTAATAATAGAAATGACTTGACCTTGTAGACATAGGCATAAATCTCATTCCTGAGTTGGCCTTAGAGATGATCCAGTCACGTGGGAAATGGGAATAGCTTTAACTAGTTGCCTAAGGCAGGAACCTGGGAGTTATGCTCAGTTCTTCCCATTCCCTTTTCTCCCAAGTCTACTGGGTCACCAAGTGCCATCACTTCCACCTCCAAAATGTTTCTAAACCCCACTGCCTCCTCCATGCTTAGTCCAGGCCCTTCTCATCGTGTCTGGACCACAGCAATGTTGGCCTTCACAAAGGACAGGTTTTTGCCTATTTTGTCTACTGCTGTATCCTCAGCACTGAGAATGTTACTTGGCACACAGAAAGAAGGGTTCAGCATATATTTGCTGACTACGTTAGAAAAGCCTCCAAATGGTCAACTTTCACCCCTTTCCACTTCAGTCCCATGGCCTTCGTGGTTTCGTAATATGAGGTCATTCTCCTGAGTTCATCCTTCCTACACAAGGCGGAGTTTCAGCTTCTTACCAACACAAACATGGCCTTTCAGGGTCTGGGCCCAACTTACCCACTCGAATCACCTCCTGCCACCAAACCACTTGTACCCAAGGCACGTTAAAGAGCTCACAGTTGCCTGCATTCTTTGGCCCCTGTGCCCTTGTTTCTCCTCTGTTCTCTGCCAGAAATGTCTGGCTCCCTTTTGCCCTGGCAAACTGTCCCTGGACAGATCAACATCCAGCTTGAAGATGATGTCTTGTGTCAAATGAACTGTTCCTTCCTCCAAGCACCCAGGAGCACTTTGCATTTCCACTTCCTCAGCCCTTTCCAAAATTACTGTAATCATCTCAGGCCAGTCTATTTTCTGTTCATTTTATTTTTTCTAGAGACTAGCACATGGTAGGCTGTCAGTAAATGTTTATTAAAATGAAATGAAAATATAGCATAATGAGGTATTTTCAAGTCTAATACCTGTAAAGTGCTTTCTACTGTGTAGGTGACAAATCCAGCATGCCAGTATTGTTACAAGTTTTTCTACAGTCCTATGGCATTCATTTCCAGATTCCTGAAATTGACTTTTTAAACTTATTCTAAAAAGTAGAACTGCTTTTTTATATCACTGCAAAGCATCTGGATATCATTTCATAACACATATTCTAATAATCATCATACACATGTCAATGAAAACTTTTAAAATAGTTTTTTCTTTTGGAATGAAATAGATTTTAATTTTTAAAAAGAATTTAACTTCTTCCTTTTCTTTTGGATTTTGAGTTTACTATTCCATAAATTCCAAAGGACATACTAAACATGCCAAGTCTCTATAAAATTCAGGAAAGCAGGGCTTTGGGGATGAAAAGGTGTCTTTCCTGGCTAGAATACCTATAAGCCCCTACTTAAGGGAGGGGGTTTGGTAGGAAGGTAATACAGTGTCCAATTGTTTGCAAGAATAAAGTTTGGTTTGGGGGTTGGTGAAATTCTGTAGAGTAGCATAACATGCAACCTAAAGGTCAGTTTATAAAAAAATAAGCTGCTACTTTTATACTGTTGTACACAATACATAAAAAATTCCTAAAATTGGCCCAGTAGAATTCCTAAAAATAGACCAAACAATCACCCACAGACTCAAATCAATCATTGTCCACTCTCTCTACAGGCTACATTTAAACTTCACTTGTCTTTCCAGGGCAATCATGGCCTTGGCCTCTGCTCCCTAACCTCTCCAGACCAATGCAGACTGGGCCTGCCGGAGGAGGCAGCCTGGGCTAACTGTCCTCTCCCTAGGTCAAGCACTGCTACCTTGCTAACCAGGTCCAAAGGCTCTTGATGTCTTAACACCGCCTTACTTTTTCCATGGCTTTGGTTTCCATGTCATCCTTGGTGCGAATTTCTCTACCAATAGTTTTCCTGGTGGTGGAGGGCAGGCCAGAAGCTGAGTTTCATTTTCTTTGACGGATGTTTACTGCCTCTAGCTTGCACATTTCCAGTGGTGAAAACAATTCCTTTGGGGTTCTCAGCCACATCAAATATTCTCTCTCTCTCTCTCTCTCTATATATATATATATATACACACACACACACATAGTATGTGTACACTATACCTTCTCTCCTAAAAACAACGGTTTATGTAGATTCCTTTCAGCTGTTCAGTAATCCCACTACCTTAGAGAGGGGACACTATTCTTTACTGTTCCTGGGCCACCCCGTTAAGCTAGAGTAGCGTTCTCATGTCTTCCAGAGATGTATCTTTAACCATTTCCTCCTTACAATGAGGAATTGGCTGCACATTCATTCCCAATCTGCGGGAGGACGTCACCCTCAAACAACCTCGGTGACCCGCAGAGGAAGTCACCTGCGGCCAGCCAGGCCGGCATTTTTACCTTTCTTGGGGGCAGGAGCTCTTTGGGGTGGCCGCCCCCGTTGCCCCTGCGCACCAGGGCAGGATCCGCGGGGCCTGGAAAGCCTCCCAGGGCAGCAGTCCCATGGGAAGGACGCCCCACCCCTGGCCACCCTCACCCGACAGGTTCTGGGCCGCAGCGAAGGGGGCGGCGGGAACCGATTTCGGACAGGAGAGGGGCCCGCCACGGAGGAAGCCACCCTCTCGCCGAGCCCCTGCCCGCCCCTTGCCCCGGCTCACCTGCCGCCAGCGATCGGCCTCCCTCGGGGTCACTGCTGCCCCGGCATCGTGCCGCTGGGGTGGGCTCCGGACCCGGATGCGGACACCGACCAGGGGACCGGCAGGGGGCGGCGGCGGGGGCAGCTGGGTTCGGGGAGCCTCTAGCTGACTCGCGGCCTGCCGACCCCGCCCAGCGCCGCTCAGCTGACCGCGCGCCGGCTCCCCGCCTAGGCCGGGGACTTTCCCGGGCCCCGCCCCCCGAGGCCCCGCCCCTCCCAGGTCCTGTGCCCGCTCGGGGCTCCGCCCCTCGATCCTGTGCCCGCCCCGCCCGCCAGAGGTCCCGCCCCTCTCCTGCGCCCGCCGCTAGGCCCCGCCCTTCGCTTCCGGGCCCGCCCGAGGCCCCGCCTCTCCTTGCTCCTGCGCCCGCCCCAGGCCCCGCCCACCCGAGGCCCCCCTCCGGCGACTAGCAAAAGGTCAAGGCTGGGACCGGCGCGAGTGGGGAGTACGCCGGAGTGCCAATCTTGACATAGACCCCAAACACAAAGCAGCCTGTAGAATGTTTAGGCCCGGAGAAAGGCTCCGGGTGACACCACGATGCTTCAGGTGCCCCAGGCGGCGGGACGAACCGACTGACCGGGAGCGTGTCCGGGAGCTGCCTTTGCCGCCGTGGCGAGCGCTGCTCTGCGGGACTGGAGGAGGGACGGCGCCGCCGGGCCAGACAGGAGGGTGGACACGTAGAAAACAGGACGAGGTGAGGGGGAGAACCGCCTGGTTTGCATCTGGACTCCGGGAGACGCCCCGCAGGACGCAGACAGCGTCTGATCGCGAGGTCAAGCTCAAGGCGTGCTCCCGGCGGGCCGCAGGACCCTCGAGCTGGACGAGTACACGGAAATTAGGGCGGGCCCAGGTGCACTGGGCGAGGTCCGAGACCAAGAAGGCTGGGTACGGGGGACTGACCTGACCTACCAAGGAAGGGCCTGGCGCCGCTCACATCCGTGGCATTAGCTAAGCAGCACGTGGCTGTGCATCCACGTTGCTCACAGGTTGCAAAAAAGGAGGAAAAAAAAATCTTAATCTGAAATGGGAACAGGCTGATGCACCCTCTCCTGGTATCTTCGTATCCTGTCCAGGCCGCCTGCTGCCCCACCGGCTCTGCCTGGGAGACCCTCGTCACTACCCCCAGGTCACCCTGAAGAGCAGGCAGGGTAGGCTAGCAAGTCAGTAACTGCCCCAGACCCAATGCGCGAGGAGGAGGGTGTGGGAGGAGAGGCTGCTCTATGTGGAGAGAGCCTAGGGGTGGGGGTGGGAGGGAGCCCCAAATGGAGAATTAAAAAAAAAATAAGTGCAAGGCAGAACTGGGTGTCCTTCATGAAAAAAGCTTGGAAAAATAGAAATAGAACAAAACTCTCTAGTTTTTGTTTGATTACTGGGATAATTCAGACAGCAGAGACCTTGTCACAGCTGTCCCCTGGGAACTGAGGAGGAAGGCCCCTCGGGACCTGTTAGGGGTGCCTAGGGTATGTGTCACACCCCTGGGCTCGCTTCCATTATTTTAAACCACATGAAGGCGAATTAAAATGAGCATCGGGGAAGGTCTGAGCAGGGAAAGATCACACACAAGGCTGCCTGGAGTGGCAAGGCCGGGGGTGAGTTTCAGATAGAGAAAGAGGTAGAGGTAGTTTTTTCTCCAATTCCTTGCTTTCAGCAGGGTGGGTCCCGGAAGCGTTGAGCACCCCACCACTTCCTAGTGAGGACCTTGGACAAATGACTTCATGTTGCCATGCCTCATTCTTTTCGTCTGTAAAATGGAAAATATAGTATAGGTCCCAAATCCAATAAGTTCCGAGGACCAGAAGTCTTTTCTTAATTCATTCCGTGGCAAAACCTGACCTGACTGATGTGAAGCTAGTTGCAGTTTTCCTTTAGACCCCTTGGTACGTTTATTTACTTGCTTTGTGGAGGGAAAATTAATGAGTTGATATGAGAACTGCTTCGGGCCCCATCGGGGTGTTATGTTATTTAATAGATAAATCTCGTGCATTGTGTTACCTTTCTAAAATCTAAAAAATTCTGAACTCTGAAACAAAGCTTGCTCCAAAGGTTTGAGATAAAGGATTTGGACCTACTAGCACCTACTGGCTAACAATGTAGTGAGTATTAGTGGGAGAGTATGTGTAAAACACTTAGGAAAATGCCTGGCACATAGTGTTAATTGCGGTTATTATTGCTAGTGTTAGCGCCAGCTCTGTTTCTTAGCCTAAATGGTCCAGTGTGGTGCCTCTGTGCTCTTTCACAATTCCATGAATGGACGGAATCTAAATGCAGCCAAGACCCTGGAAATTGTGCATGCTTCTATCTGTCTCACTGATGCGCTTTGTAGTGGGTAAATGCAAAACAGTGTGGCAGAGTATTTAGTGAGATATTAATGTGTGTTTCATGCTCCTTGTGCTCCTGTCTACCCCAGGCTCCTCTGTTTTGAGTTAGTAGTTAGTGCCTTTGTGTTTCCTATCTCAAGGAGTGTTTGCAAGATTTTAGGCAACAGCTCTTAGAAGAACAACTTTCTTCCTGTCTTCTGAGAAAGCCCCATCTCAGTAAATACATCATCTATTCCAGATGTCCTGGAGGGACAGGGCCAGAGCTAGTGTGGGGTGGGGGACTCTGCAGCAGTTGGAGGGAGGAGTGACTCCCCTAGATTGGGAGAGGGTGGGCTTGTGGTCTCGTGAGCACCAAGAGCTCAAGCCTTAATCCCCGTAGCACCAGGACAAGTGGCAAGCTCTTGGAGTGACACAGCTGTGGGATGCATCTGTTGGACTTTGGGAACCTTCTTGTGCCCCCAGGCCTGTCATTGGAAATTGGGCAGCCTGCTCCCTAGAAGAAGCCCTATGTTGGGTAATGAGGGTATCAGGAGCAAGAGGGATGGGCTGAAGGATAAATGTCCCTTGTTCCAATGGGGACATCTCCTGGATTTTTGCCTAACCCTGGGGAAGGAGACCCTCTGCTCTCAAGGTCCAATGATGCCTGAGAAGGGGTTTCCTTACACCCCCGCAGGGCTATTTTTTGTTTCTTTTTCCTCCTTCTTTTAAAAAATTGACATATAATAGGAGCTGAGTTTAAAGAAAGTAAAGATATATGACATTTTCATATACATCTGAGCTAGTAGACTTGATACCCTACATGCAAAAAACTACATTTACTAAGTATGATTCCATATATATTATATTAAGTGTCCAGAAATGAGAAATAAAGAAAGACAGGTAGCAGACCAGTGGTTACCTGGGACTGGGGGCAGCTGAGACTGCAGACAAGTTCAGATGACTTTTTGGGGAGAATGGAAACATTCTAAAACTGGATTGTAATAATGGTTTCACAACTCTGTAAATGAAATTAAAAGTCATGGAATTGTACACTTACAGTGGGGTGAATTTTATGGCATGTACCTCACTAGAGCTGCACAAACAAAAACAAAGAGCAAAGAGACTGAAATAAATACTATAGTAATTATGTCCAATACATAGGCCAGGTGTGGTGGCTCACACCTTTAATCCTGCCCACTTGGGAGGCCAAGGTGGGAGGACCATCTGAGGCCAGGAGTTTGAGACTAGCTTGAGCAACATAGCGAGACCCTGTCTTTACAAAAAATAGAAAAAAAAATAGCTAGGTATGGTGGTGTGCACCTGTGGTCCCAGCTACTCAGGAGGCTGAGGCAAGAGGATCCTTGAGGCCCAGGTATTTGAACCTGCAGTGAGCTATGATTGTGCCACTGCACTCTAGCCTGGGTGACAGAGTGAGACCTTGTCTCAAACAAATAATGATGATATCACTAATAATAATTATCATTATTGTTATTATGTCCAATAATGGGTGTGTCCTTTCTTCTGTTGGGCCACTGGTGTGCTGGCTGTATCAATCATCTCCCCTATGGTTGACCTGAGTCTGGACTTTGTCTCAGCTTTAGTTAGATTCACATTATCACTGGCTCCAAAATGATATGAGGGCGCATTTGTCAGAAGGTTCAACAGAGAAATACCATATGACCCAGCAATGCCACTCCTAGATATACACCCCAAAGGACTGAATATAGGGACTCAAACACATGCATGTATGTGCCTCTAATAGGTTGCTTTCCTTCCCTGAAATCCGGCATGGCAGCCTCTCCCAGTGCAAGGAGGAGGTACGTAGTTGGGGTTTCCATCAGAACGAGGCTCTGGGATTAGAGTCCAACCTGTGGCCTCAGCCAAGTGTCCAAAGTCCCAGGGACAACAGCTTTATGAAGAGCCAGATCACAATGTGCATGGTATGATCCTCTGGTCCTTGCTTTCCTTTCTTCCATGCTTCTAGATCTTGAAACAGTAAACTCATTGAGAAGGAGCTGGGTGTTTATCTCTTAGGTGATCCATTGGCCCTCGGTACATATTAGATAAAAATACCATAGGAAGAATACTTATTAATTACTTCCTACTCCTTTCCCATTGTGTATCTGCAGACGCTGTCTAGTCCCTGCCACCTTTGCCGTCAAGTCAAAGCACAGCATAGCCGAAATGTTAAATCCTTGCTTCCTGGTTTTTCTATGAAACTGTTAAGAGTTCCTGGAGCAAAACTTTTCTGTTAAAATATTTAATTAACCAGAGCCAGTGATTTGGGAAAATAATCATTCTATTACACCACAATTCTTCATCATGGTCTGAAAAATACTGTCATCATCTTCTTGGCCTGCCTGGGGAGTGAGAAATGGTGTATCTAATTTTAGACATAGTTTTAGCCTCTTGCTTTGGATGAAATAATTGATCAGTTGCATGGAAGCACATATGATTTGTCTTGTTTTCCATCCAAAATAAGATGTCTCACTTCTCTGAAGACGTGCATGGTGGGGTGAGGGACACAGGGACCTGCGTGTCAGGTTACCTGGGCTCTACCTGAGAACTCAGGAAGGAACAAAGGCCCCTGGGCCTTTGTCTTCTCATCAGCGAGGAAAGGCAGTGACTGGAATAGGTGATCTCTTAGCTTCCCTCTAGCTCTAAAAAAAATTGGAATTCCTTTTAGTTTATTATATTTGATATCCTATTTGAGTGGATGCCAAATTAACTCAATTTCAGTATAGGCTTCTTCCTCCTATAGAGGCTGACTTAATGCTTGGCTAAATTGTCAGAAATGATTTTGCAGTTTGAAAAATCACTAAGTCCCCTGTTTTTGTAAAAGAAAAAAATGTGTTCATAGGTGACTTTCAAAAAGGCTACAATA